TTGATGTACGCTCCTAGGAATTGTGGAGGAGAATGAAGGTCGGGGAGGAGAAAAATGGTGGGGTGGGGTGTGAAGGAGAAAGCAAAGCACAGGGCAGAACAAGTTGAGGACCTCCGTCACGATGGCACACCTAGGAGGGGGAGGTGGTGGGGGGGGGGGGGGAGGGGGGGGGTGGGATGGTGAGGGGGGTGTGGAAAGGGAGGGGAGGGTGAGGTGGCGAGGGATCTAGGGTTAAAGGGGACAGGACAAAAGACTTTGACTATGCCACCCAACCTTTGCTGCCATGTCGTGGCCTGGCCTGGCCGTAGCAACGCCGAGTTCCACTTTCACTTGCGTTTTGTACCTTCAAGGATCTAAGCTGTTCAGATTTTCCGTGTATTTTTTTTTTCTAGTTCATTTGCTATGACGTCCGCGTTTTGAGAGTACTGATACACTCCAAGCGCGAACGCTTTGCGAGCGAGCTGCGCCTGAGAGCGAAGCGCAGGAGAAATGAGAGATGGAAACAGAAAGGGTCCGAACGAATGCATTCGCAGGAACCCAACCAACCAATGACAGGTTTGTACCTGGGAATCCGAGTCCTTTCTCGACGTACCTGACAGGTGGACGTACGCTGGGTGCGTACGTGGACGACGTTGGGGTGGCTGAGTTTATGCTTGTTCGGAACCCTCACTTCGCGTCCCGTCCAGTGGCAATTGAGTCGTATTCACCCTCGTAACCCGCTTGTTGAGCCCTCCGTACGTACACTTCCGGAAAACCTGAGAGTTGTTCGTACCTGGACGACGTTGGGGTGGTTGAGTTTATGCCACACGGACACCTCTTGACGGAACCCCCGCTTGGCGCGGTTCAGCTCATCCTCGCTAGAAGCTTCAGGGAAGAGCAGAAACTTTATCGCGACGCGCGAGCCTCGGTACGTGCCCGAATGCACCACGCCGAACGATCCTGTAGCTATTAACTCGCCCAACTCGACCTGACGCGATGAGGGGATGGGGGGTGGGGGAGGTAAGAGAAAAGGGGAGTGAAGGTTGAAACACACTGGAAGAGCAGGATCCTAATCGCTACGCGTGTGCGTTGGCAAGTGCGGGAATGCATCACGCCGAACGATCCGTGGCTAGTAACTCGCCCAACTCCGTGGCTAATAACTCGCCCAACTCCGTGGCTAATAACTCGCCCAACTCCGTGGCTAATAACTCGCCCAACTCCGTGGCTAATAACTCGCCCAACTCCGTGGCTAATAACTCGCCCAACTAGACCTGAAACGATGGAGAAGGTGGGTAGGTGTTTGGACGGGAGGTGGGGAGGAGGGTAAATAAGAATGCCCAGGCCCACTGGGACCGCAGGATCTTAATCGCCACGCGTGCGCCCTGATACGCGCTTGAGTTAACCACTCCAGAGGATCCTTTTGCGATCAGCTGGCCTAGCCTCTCGCGATCACGCGACGCTTGCGACTCCCGCGACTCCTGCGACTCTCGCATTCACGCAACTTCCGTGGCTCCTGCGACTCCCGCGACTCTTGCGACTCCCGCGACTCCGAGAGTTTTGTAAGAAGGCCGATCGTACACTTCTGGAAAGTCTCCGTGAAGCAAAGGCCGATCGCGTACCTCTGAGAAGTCTATCGCCCACGCTGTTGACCCGGGCGCGTCTCCTCCACTCGGCGATCCCTCGTTGCCGCGACCGCCGCTACCGGCGCCGGAGGATTGCTGGCTGCCGTGACTGCCATGGCTACCTTTGCCCAATTCGGCACAAGGGCCGATCGCGTACCTCTGAGAAGTCTATCGCCCACGCTGTTGACCCGGGCGCGTCTCCTCCACTCGGCGATCCCTCGGCGCCGGATGATTGCTGGCTGCCGTCACTACCATGGCTGCCTTTGCTGTTCTCCTCCTCGCCGTTTCTGTTCCGGTCTCGCCGCGGATTGCGGGTTCCTCTTGCGGAGCCGTACACGCCGCCGGTCATTGGCGCTCTCGCTGCAGAAATGAAACGTCGATGAGGGAATGCAAGAAATTTATGTTACACATTTGGCGATTTTTAGGCTATTTCAGTGCCATTAAACGGGGGGGTGACTGGTGGGGGAAGGACGACCTAACGAAGAGTCGGGGAAAACCATTACAACGCACGGCATGAAAGGCGACAAGCAAGACGACGGGGAACAGAAAAACGAGCTTAAAGACGTGAAAAGAACGGCCAGTAACAGAACAAAAAGTATCATCAAATGTAACTGGAAACTCGGTGGGAAACAATACCTTAAGTGTGATTGAAGTTTCAGTCAAATTTGAATATTGAGCCACTCAGACGTCCACGTCACACAACCACAGTGACTTTTAGGTAACCCTAAAATGCTCGAAGGGTGATCCTGAACTGCAGACCGAAAACGTTAAAACTGGTGCTGCTAACTTAACGATACAAGTCCTAGAGGTCGCATTCCTAGACGTCTCAAAGATAATGTGCGAAGGTGTCTTAGAAGTCCAGATCTTTACGTCTCGTAGTCTGCTACCTTGTCCTTTGACAAAGTGCTATGCATTGCGACCTGATTACAACGCGAAAGCGATTTGACGTCGACAGAATGGCGACGATAGGCGTCGACTCCGTTAGGACGCCATGATCGTTCAAACGGATCGTAATCGAAGCGAGAGACCATACAGGTGAGCACGCTGAGAGGATGGCTTGACCGGGAGAAACGGGACGATGAGACTAGCACACCGAGACGGTTAGAGGAGCTAGGTCAGGAGCACTTGTGTTGTGAAGGAGGAAAAGCGAAGTCTCGCAATTACTCTACCTATCTGGATTCGAAGTATTATGCAATGTGAGCTGCGAGGATGGTGGATAGAGGATGATGTGATGACAACTTGCTTATCAAGGGCGAGCATAATCAATGCAGGTGCTGCTATTTTACGCAGCGCGGAAAAGGGAGAGGATGAGGTGAGGTGACTGAAGACGAGATGCCAAACAGATATGTCAGGGGAGCGCAACAAGCTTGAATTGAATGGCGCTGCTGCGTCTGCCATGAAAAAAGCTCCCCTCTCCTCCGCGTGCTTGTGTGAGGGAAACTGTTGGTGGAACAGTGGAGGTAAGTCATGAGCGCGTGCGGTGGAAAATGGCTACACACACATGTTCCACGGAACTTTCGAACTGTGCACGGGGGTCTGATTCGAAGTGAACATGGCGGATTTTGTTGAGTTCGAAAAAATAAATGAAAGGAAGAGCCACAGGTTTTGTATAGAGCTTCGTTGATGAAGTCGTGGTGATTTGGTGTGGTGGTTGGTGAACAAATCATAGTCTGCCTTGAAGTTTTTTCGTTCTCTCTTTCACAAAGGGCAACACAACTGGGAAAACAAATATGCGTGTGGCCTTTGGTTTGGAAATCGGGCCAAGGTTCAAAGTTTGAGAGGCGGAGAATACTGCACATGGGCAAGCCTGTCTCGGATTGGGTGAAAGGAGCGACGATGTGGGCGACCCAGAAGGCTTCTGCTGAGGTGTGTGACATGGAGTGGTTGGTTCTATGGTTTTAGAGTTGCGGTGCCTAGAACTCGAGGACACCCGTCCTCTATGGTGCTCACAAACAAAACATACCTAGGCGGATGGAAATCCGAGATTCAAATTTGGCTCCATCAACACGCCCTCCCCAAGTCGAGTCGAGTCTCGTTGTTTGTCAAACCTGACGGTGCAGGCTCGGGAATAACCTTTTTACATTAGGGGCACGCCTGGACCACAAGATCTCACCACGCCTGTGGCCGTTCAACAACAAATCTTACCGAACCATGACGCTTCTCACCCAAACCAAACCGCACGCTCCATCCGTTGGAAAGTAAAATACAGTAAAACGTACTGTAAAAAGTACACCTGAAGCTTTTGTGAAGCCCAACGATTTCGGGTCGTTTGTTCCTCTCGCAAGAGGCGCCCTTCAAAGGCTTCAGCAACGATGACATTTGATGAACAAAGGGTTTTGTGCCTGTCGTTTCTAGATGCGTTCTGTGACCTTTTACTACGACAGGCGCAAAAGCCTTTGCACACCCGTAGGCCGTGTGCCTGCAAATCAAGTGCCTGTGTGACTGTGTGCCTGTAACGCGTAGGCCGTGGCCTGCAAATCAAGGATGTGTACACGACCCAGAATTCTGATCCAAGGCCAAAGAAAGACGGCAATGGAGAACCTTTTCAGGGCAGGGGGCGATGTGTGGGCAGAAAGTACCGCGGCTGGAAAGTGCAAACGAACGGCGTGCGGTTGCGCAAGGGTGGATCGAGCGGTGGAATCTACGTGGCCGATTGAACACGTTCAAGTTGATCAGTGTTTCGAATTTCTCAACTCGAACCCTGGCTGTAGTTCGAATACATTGATGCCCTAAACCCCGCGCAGATTGTTCTTTGGCGGGGTTAGAAGATGTTCTGAAAGTTGCGGAGGCAATAAGCGTATTTACAGTGCGGTGGCGATTTGAACGATCCCCCGTTCTGCGTGTCCTTTTGGTAGCAGGGATGGAAAGTATCACCTGAAATTACACATGACGAGTGTTGCAAGCTGAATCCCGCTTTGTCCGCAGTTTCGGTAAGCCCCAGGTCAAGAACACATACTTGTGCACCACAAACAATAAAACACTATGCTACCTAGAAACATGTCTCAAACAATCATCATGATGCTATTTGAACTACAGTTTTGAGCCAGAGGGGGTCAATATACAAGAAGCATAAAGGAAGCACACCAAGACGGAAGCAAAAAAGATAGAATGAGAGAAAAAATATCCACAGACAGGCGACAAAGGGGGCAAGGGTGCCAGGTTTGACGGTAAGAAGCAAAGCCGGTTCGGCAAAGGTAATGGGGCAGGTTCGGAAGATCAAGCATTGTAAATAAGGACTGGGATGGAGGCTTGGCTTGGTGGAGAGGAGAGGCTCTTTGTGCAGGTTGGCAGGTACTGCTGCTGCTCCGGTTAATGTGACTGTAACCATTGCGTTACAGTTACCAGGTGCAAGGGCTACAAGCACAAACAACATACACCATGCAATCATCAACGCTGTCTCTATGTTGTTGACTCTGCTGCTGCTGCTGCTGCTGCTGCTCCGCCGTCCTCTGCCTTATCTGCTACACCTCCCTCTTTCCCTCCATCCTCCCCCTTTGCTCCTCCCTCCACGGCCCCACCTCCTGCCTCTGCAGCAGCAGCGCCTTCCCCCTCTCCTTTCTCCCCCTCCTTCCCTCCTTCCACCTTCTCCTTCTCCCCCCTCTCCCCTCCCCCCTTCTCCCCACCCGCTTTCTCCCCCTTCGCCTTGGCCTGGGCTTCAGCCAGGGCGCGTTTCTGAGCATCCTTAGCAGCCCTAAAGTCAGCCATGGTTCGGAACTTCTCGCTGAGAATCTTCTCGAGCTCCGGGTGCTTCTTCACCTCCCGCGTGTCCTTGTCCTTGCGATAAAAGTGGTATGCCCTGTGGGTGGGGGAACAGACATGGAGAGAGAAAGGGTGAAAGGAAGGGTCAGATATTCCTCTACTCATCCTTAGCAGCCCTAAAGTCAGCCATGGTTCGGAACTTCTCGCTGAGAATCTTCTCCAGCTCAGGGTGCTTCTTCACCTCCCGCGGGTCCTTGTCCTTGCGATAGAAATGGTACGCCCTGTGGTGAAAGAGAGTGATGTGTGTGGAGAGAGAAGGGCAAAAGAAGGCAAGTCATTGTAGACTGTCTCTCCAGTTCAGGGTGCTTCTTCACCTCCCGCGGGTCCTTGTCCTTGCGATAGAAATGGTACGCCCTGTGGTGAAAGAGAGTGATGTGTGTGGAGAGAGAAGGGCAAAAGAAGGCAAGTCATTGTAGACTGTCTCTCCAGTTCAGGGTGCTTCTTCACCTCCCACGGGTCCTTGTCCTTGCGATAGAAATGGTACGCCCTGTGGTGAAAGAGAGTGATGTGTGTGGAGAGAGAAGGGCAAAAGAAGGCAAGTCATTGTAGACTGTCTCTCCAGTTCAGGGTGCTTCTTCACCTCCCGCGTGTCCTTGTCCTTGCAGTAAAAGTGGTACGCCCTGTGGTGTGAAGGGGGGGGGAGGGGGGGAGGAGGGATGTATGTGGAGGGAGAAAGGGAACGGAGAACGGATAGTCATGCTGAGAACATTTTTCCAGCTCAGGGTGCTTCTTCACCTCCCGCGTGTGTCCTTGTCCTTGCGATAAAAGTGGTACGCCCTGTGGGGAGAGAGAGTGATTTGTGTGGAGAGAGAAAGAGAAAGGCAAGGCTACCCATGCTTAGAACATCTCTCCAGCTCGGGGTGCGACGTTTCTTCACCTCCCACGTTTCCTTGTCCGTGCGATAGAAACGGTATGCCCAGTGGTGGGAGAGAGAGATGAGCAGCTTGAAACAATTGAGCGATTTCTTAGATAGAAATACGGTCCCCATCCAATACTAAGTCCCCAAAAGCGTGCGAATCTACTCACCAGTACTTTTCGAGCCCGTACAGGTTGCCATCCCACTGGTACATGTCCCAGAGTGAGCAATAAAAATGTATACAACCAACACTAAATCTCCAAGAAACTCACCAGTACTTTTCAAGACAACAAAGGTTCCCGTCCCACTGGTACATGTCCAGAGTGAGCTGCTCGAACGACCCCCAAGTCTCGACCACCCACACAGACAGACCCATCCCATCCCATCCCATCCCATCCCATCCCATCCCATCCCATCCCATCCCATCACATCCCATCCCATCACATCCCATCCCATCCCAGTCCCCCGACCAGCCTTAACTCACCAGTACTTTTCGAGCCCCTACAGGTTGCCATCCCGCTGGTACATGTCCAGAGCCAGCTGCTCACTCCATCACTGGCACTGACACACTTCCTCAGAACCCAACCCAGCTCGTCCCTTGGCTAGTGCAATGCGACTCACCAGTACTTCTCAAGCCCGTACAGGTTCCCGTCCCGCTGGTACATGTCCAGAGTCAGCTGCTCGAACCACCCTCAACAGCCCACCCATCCCATTCCCATCCCTCCCATCCCATCCCACCCCACTCCACTCCATTCAATCGCTACTCACCAGTACTTCTCGAGCCCGTACAAGTTGCCGTCCTGCTGGTACATGTCCAGAGTCAGCTGCTCGAAGTCGACATACATGGGCTCCTCGAACTTGGACTCCAGCCCATAGCTGTTGGGGGGGAGTGAAAAGGTTGCAAGTGGTGGAAGGGAGTGGAAGGGAGTGAAAGGGAGTGGAAGGGAGTGAGAAAGGGTGGAATTTATGTAGTAGGTCAGATCAGAGTGTCTTTTGCCACTTAGCTTGGACTCGAGGCCATAGCTGGAGGGGTGCAGGGGTGAGTAGAAATCAAGTGGTGGAAGTGGGTGAAATGGGGTGGAAATTCAATATGAGCTGCTCAAAGTCGACATACATGGGCTCCTCGAACTTGGACTCCAGCCCGTAGCTGGTAGAAGGGGATAAAAAGGGAGTGGAAGAGGTTGGAGGGGAGTGGACGGGGGCGGAAAGGCTCTTCCTCTTCCGTTTCTATATGTACCTATTAAGTCACTATTGTTACTTTGAACAGCTCTTATAGCACTTGTGAAGGCTCTTTGTAAAGAGAGACCTTATTTGAGGCACTTAGGGCACCTGTAGAAGCGGACGAGGCACTCCATGCCGTAGTAGTACTTAGAAGCCACGTCCTCAGTGAGTTACGAGTTATTTCAAGAAAAGTTTAGCACAGCATAGCACAGTACCCACCTGTAGAAGCGGACGAGGCACTCCATGCCGTAGTAGCACTTGGATACACCTCGCGTAGTGCCACTTTGTTAAGACGCACAATACCGGTACGTACCTGTAGAAGCGGAAGAGGCACTCCATGCCATAATAGTACTTGGAAGCCGCGTCCTCCGAGGCGAGCCTCTTGAAGTCGTCGTACATCTGCTGGTTGAAGCTCACCGAGTCGACTCTAAAGGCAGCACGGTACATACCTGTAGAAGCGCGTAGCACATACCTGTAGAAGCGGAAGAGGCATTCCATGCCGTAATAGTACTTGGAAGCCGCGTCCTCCGTGGCGAGCCTCTTGAAGTCGTCGTACATCTGCTGGTTGAAGTTCTTGCGCAGGAAGTAGCACCAGAAGCGGAACAGCGTGTTCATCTCCTGAGGGTTTGAGAAAGGAGGAAAGGTTGGGGAGAGGGAAAAGGGATTTTAGAAGCGCAGGAAGTAGCACCAGAAGCGGAACAGCGTGTTCATCTCCTGAGGGTTTGAGAAAGGAGGAAAGGTTGGGGAGAGGGAAAAGGGATTTTAGAAGCGCAGGAAGTAGCACCAGAAGCGGAACAGCGTGTTCATCTCCTGAGGGTTTGAGAAAGGAGGAAAGGTTGGGGAGAGGGAAAAGGGATTTTAGAAGCGCAGGAAGTAGCACCAGAAGCGGAACAGCGTGTTCATCTCCTGAGGGTTTGAGAAAGGAGGAAAGGTTGGGGAGAGGGAAAAGGGATTTTAGAAGCGCAGGAAATAGCACCAGAAGCGGAACAGCGTGTTCATCTCCTGAGGGTTTGGAACAGGCGGTTGGGGAGGGAGGGAGGAGGGGAGGGAGGGAGGAGGGGAGGGAGGGAGGGTGCGGGAGGGGAAGAAGGGGTAGGGACCGCTGTGTGCATCTGTTGGTTGAAGTTGTTGGGGGGGAAGTGAAGTAGCAGCAGAAGCGGAACAGCGTGTAAAGGTTGTTCATCCCCTACTTGTTTAGGTTCTAGGGTAACAACCTTTACAAACATATTACCCTCACGTCACCCCCAACCAAAGTAGGGTTACCTTCACTTCAAGCGACTCACCTCAGAGCGGCCGCTGCCCAGCTTCTTGAGACACCTCTTGCCAGACAGAGATGAAGTCCCGGAATCAACTACCAACTAGAGATACCTGTAAAAGGCCTTTACAGCAGGGCTCCCTTCAAGTGTCTTACCTCAGAGCGGCCGCTGCCGAGCTTCTTGCGCTCCTTGAGACACCTCTTGTAGAAGGAGGAGTACCTGGGGGGGGTGGGGGGGGGAAGAGGAGCCAGAGGTGTGCGAGGGGGATGAGAAGCGGGCAACGGACAAAAGGCTTGACAAACGGGACACCTCTTGTAGAATGAGGAGTACCTGGGGGGAGGGGGGGGGGAAGGGAAGGGAAAGAGTCGAGGCATGAGAGGAGAGGCAAGAGAGAGGCATGAGAGGAGAGGCAAGAGAGGAGAGGCATGAGAGGAGAGGCATGAGAGAGGCATGAGAGGAGAGAGAGGGCAACGCGGGCATACACTTGAGACGCCTCTTGTAGAAGGACGAGTACCTGGTAGGGGGGGGGAGAGGGGAGGGAGAGAGGGGCAAGTGGGGAGAGATCTGAGAGAAGAGACAGAGCAAAGGGAAACACCATTTGTCTGATTCGTTAACAGATGAGACACCTTTTGTAGAAGGAGGAGCACTCACTTCTGCTGCTTGAAACCATTCACCTCCAGCAACGCGTGACTAACGTGCTGGTGGTGATGCTACCATTCCAGCTCCCCTCATCCCATACCATGCAAGTACTCATATCACCCCAAACACACTCACTTCTGCTGCTTGAAACCATTCTCTTCCAGCAACGCGCGGCTAACGTGCTGGTGCTGCTGCCAGTGGTGCTCCTCATTCCATTCATTCACACGATGCAACTTGTACCCTAACAGCACACCCACCCACTCATACTCACTTCTGCTGCTTGAACCCATTCTCCTCCAGCAACGCGTGACTAACGTGCTGGTGCTGCTGCCCTCCCAATCCCAGACTAGCCGACAGCAGCCCCGCTCCCCCCTTCCCTCCAACCGATCCCACCACTCCCCTCCCCCTGTCCCTGTGCCGCCCTCCCGCTGCCGCCATATGCATCATACTACCCGTAGGGGCAGAGCCAGGGGCGAAGGGGAGGGGGGTGACGCCCTTGGGTGGGCTTAGGAGTCCTCCCCCCTTGCCCCGCTTCTGGTCCTTCTCTTTCACACCCTCCTTCCCTGCATCTGCCTCCTTCTCGCTGTCTTTCTTCTCGCCTTCTTTTGCGTCCCCTGCCTGTTTCTCTGCTCCTTCCTCCTTCTCCTTCTCCTTCTTCTCCCCCTGCTGCTGCTGCTGGTGAAGCATCGCCAGCCCAGCAGGCATGCCCCAGGAGCTAGACAGGGAAGAGGCCGCCGAACCACTGCGGTTGAGAGGGGTGAGGCAGGGTAAGAGAGAGGGGTATAGAGGAGTGAGCAGGGGTAGAGCGAGAGGTAGAAGCATGGCCAGCCCAGCAGGCATGCCCCAGGAGCTAGAGAGGGAGGAGGCAGCCGAGTCACTGCGGTGCAGAGGGGTGAACAGCAGTGCAAAGAGGGCAAAGTAAGAGACATAGGGGTACAGAGGGGTGAAGAGGGGTAGAAGGAGGGGTGGAAGCATGGCCAGCCCAGCAGGCATGCCCCAGGTGCTAGACAGGGAGGAAGCAGCTGAACCACTGCGGTGCAGAGAGGTGAGAAGCGGTGCAAAGAGGGGCAAGGACGGAGACAGAGGGGTACAAAGGGGCGCAGAGGGATGACCCTAAACCCTAACCCCCCGACTCCACCGCATTCGGAGGCAGCCCCCCCATCCCTGGCCTTCAAACTCCCCTTTCCCAGCAGCCCCATGCACACATGCACACACACATGACTGCACGAGCCACGAGGCATGAGGCGGCACGGCACATGGCACACGCACAAAGCCTACCTGTAGGAGCTAGGTGGGATGGCTCCAAAGTAGAAAGCCATGAGCTGTGGCGATCCGAAGCTGCTGGTGCTCCTCCAACTGCTGCCCCCCAACTCCACCGCGTTGGGAGGGAGGCAAACCCCCCAGCTCCCCTGCCCTCCCTGCCCCCACCCCCACCCCTGCCACCCCACACACCTGTAGGAGCCAGGAGGAGTTGCTCCAAAGTAGAAAGCCATGAGCTGTGGCGATCCGAAGCTGCTGGTGCTCCTCCAACTGCTGCCCCCCAACTCCACCGCATTGGGAGGCAGCCCCCCCATCCCAGGCCTCCACACAGGCACCGGCTGCGCCCTCCCTGCCCCCAACCCCACCGCTCCTATTCCTCCCACCCCTCCCACCGCTCCTGCTCCTGCTCCTCCTGCTGCGGCGGCGGCAGCAGCGGCTGCTGCAGTCATGTGGGCGATTCCGGGTGTCCAGGAGGCGCGCTGCTGCTGCGGGTGGCGGGCCCTGGGGCCGCGAGCAACGTGCGAGCTGAAGTTGTCTGGACTGCCGTTGCTGCCCTGACTGCCCACGTGGAACCTGGAGGAGGGAAGTGGGGGCGGGTGATGGGTGGGGTGGGTCAGTCATGTGGGCGATTCCAGGGGTCCAGGAGGCGCGCTGCTGCTGCTGCTGGGGGTGGCAGGCCCAGGGGCCGCGAGCCACGTGAGAGCTGAAGTTGTCTGGACTGCCGTTGCTGCCCTGACTGCCCACGTGGAACCTGGGGGAGGGAAGCGGAAGAGGGATGGGGGGAGGGGAGGAGGACAAGGGAGGGAGTGAGAGGGGGCTGGTGAGAGAGGGGAAAGATGACTGGGGAGGAGGGGGGGGGGGGTTGGGGGGGGTGGTTATGTGACAAGTGGTTGCAGATCATGCCTATCCCTGACTCCTCCCCATTCCCCCTCCCCCACTTCTTGCTCTCCTCTTACCACTTCTTACTCTCCTCTTACAACTTCTTACTCTCCTCTTACCACTTCTTACTCTCCTCTTACCACTTCTTACTCTCCTCTTACCACATCTTGCTCTCCTCTTACCACTTCTTACTCTCCTCTTACCACTTCTTACTCTCCTCTTACCACTTCTTACTCTCCTCTTACCACTTCTTACTCTCCTCTTACCACTTCTTGCTCTCCTCTTACCACTTCTTACTCTCCTCTTACCACTTCTTGCTCTCCTCTTACCACTTCTTACTCTCCTCTTACAACTTCTTACTCTCCTCATACCACTTCTTACTCTCCTCTTACCACTTCTTACTCTCCTCTTACCACTTCTTACTCTCCTCTTACCACTTCTTACTCTCCTCTTACCACTTCTTACCTCCTTCCCTCCCCTTACCCATCCCCCTGCCGCTTTAACTCTCCCTTCCCTCTTCCCCTTATCCTCCCTCCCCTCCTCCTCCCCGCTCTCCAGCCAGACCCCTCCCAGTCTGTCCCTGACTGCTCGCCACTCACATACACACCTCCCCTTCCTTCTCCCCTCCAGGTAAACCCTCCCCTGCGCTCACCTGCCAGGCCCCTGTCCATCCGCTCCTGACTTCTCACCCTCTGATATACCTCCCTGTCCCCATCCCCCTGCCCCTCCAGCTCCCCCTTCCCCTTTCCCTTCCCCTTCCCCCCACACACCCCCCCTCCGCGCTCACCTGCCAGGCCCTTCCCCATCCGTCCCTGACTATTCGCCCCCATCCTCATGCACCTCCGCTTCCCCCTCCCCCCGCTCTTCCCCTTCCCTCCCCATTCCCCTCTCCCTCTCCCCCTCCCCCATGCTCACCTGCCAGGCCCCTCCCCGTCCGTCCCTGACTGCTCGCCCCTCTCATGCACCTCCCCCTTGAACCTTTCGCCCCACTCTTTGCCACCCCTTCCCCTTTCTTCCCCTTTCCCTCTCCCCGCTTCCCCGTGCTCACCTGCCAGGCCCCTCCCCGTCCGTCCCTGACTGCTCGCCCCTCTCTGCTGACAGCCTGCTGGCTCGATAGTTGGGACCCTGAGAGGGAAAGGAGGAGGGGTGGGGTGGAAGGAAGGAAGGAAGGAAGGAAGGAAGGAAGAGAGGGGAGGCAGTAAGAGGGGGGCAAGGCATGAGTCTAAGACAGCTACGTGTATGAAGATTTGTTTTGAGACGTCTCAAAACAAGGAAGGAAGGAAGAGAGGGGAGGCAGTAAGAGGATGGCAAGGCGTGAGTCCAAGACAGCTTTTCAGCAGATAGCCTGCCGATGCAGTGGTTGGGACGACTGTAATTTGGGCGATTTAAAACCCAACGGCACTGACAGAACCTATCAGCTGCTCACAACCCCGATCAAGTGCCTCACCAGGGAAGATCCCCCTTCGTAGCTGCTGCGTCCTCACTCGCCCCATCCTCACTCGCCCCGTCCTCCCTGCCCTGGTTACCCTGGTTGCACCTTACAGCCATTCATACGCACTAAAGCACCCACACTCTCCCTTCCCTCACAATCAAGCATCTCACCAGCGACAACCCGCCCTCGTAGCTGCTGGCACTCGCCCCGTCCTCCCTGCCCTGGCTGCTAGTGTTAATCCCTCGCACTCACTCACTCTCCCCTTTCCCACACAGCAAGCATCTGGCAATCTCACCAGAGAAGACACACCCTCGTAGCTGCTGCCACTCGCCCCGTCCTCCCTGCCCTGGCTGCTAGTGTTATTCCCTCGCACTCACACAGTCCCCTCAAGAGATAGTGCACAGAAAGCATCTCACCAGGGAAGACCCGCCCTCATAGCTGCTACCACTCGCCCCGTCCTCCCTGCCCTGGCTGCGCCTCACACCGCCACGCTGCTGCTGCTGAAGCGCACCGCCCTGGCCCGGGCGCCTCTGATAGGAAGGGAACGAGAAAGGGGGGTGGGAAGGGAGAGCGGGGGGGAGGGGATGAAGCATAAGTAAGCATAGGCGATTTCAGCTCGTTGCTCTGCTTGCTTCTTCTTCTAGCTGCGCCTCCCCATGCCGCTGCTGCTGAAACGCACTGCCCTGGCCCGGGCGCCTCTGAAAGTCAGGGAACGAGGGGGGTGTGTCAGGAAGAATAAGTGGAGGCATGGTCACATGTATTTTATTGCCCTGCTTGACCTGCGGTACCCTGCTCCCCCTGCTCCCCCTGCTCCCCCTGCTTCCTCTGCTCCCTCTGCTTCCCTTGCTTGGCCTTCTTCCTCTGCTTGCTCTCACACGAGATTCTCAGCGGTGCAACAATAACGTGATCTGTACATGTGTGTCAATACCGAGGCACTTACCCGTGGAACAAAAAATGGGGTTCTGACCTGTGTGACAAAAAAGGGCTCCTTACCTGTGTGACAATAACGAGGTTCTTGAGGCTGGGATTCACGTCGTTGAAATCAGAGTCGTCTGTTGTATCCTCCTCCGACCTGTGAGTGTGTGGCGTGTGTATAGGCGGGGGGAGACACGCGAACACATGAGCACATGAGTGTGAGTAGTGTGTGTATTGGAGTGGGATTCACGTCGTTGAAATCAGAGTCGTTTGCAGTGTCCTCCTCCGACCTGTGAGTGTGAGTAGGGTGTGTTAACGAGAGAGAATGAGTGAGAGTGAGAATCAGTCATTCGTTGTATCCTCCTCCGACCTGTGTGTGAGTGAGTGTGTGAGAGTGAGAATGAGCGAGTGAGAATGAGTGAGAATGAGAGAGAGAATGAGAGTGAGAATGCCTGTAGTGCCCTCCTCTGACATGTGGGTGTGAGGAATGTGTGTGAATGGGATCCAATGTGCACACTTAAACACATAGACATGTTAACACAAGTCTGTGACCCATGCATGCATATGGGTGCCCTCTGTCTAACAGCATGTGTGTATAAATAGTGTGTGTGAATGAGAGCAAGTGAATGGAGGTTTGGCACTGACCCTAAACACTTATTAAGTTTACCATCAAAACCAGCACGGAAAAAAAACTTACCTGGCACGCTGCTTCCTCCTGGGCTTGCTTGCCCTTTTCTTCCCCTCCCCAAGCTAATCTCCAACCCTAAACCCCAAGCCCTTACCCTAAACCCTGATTTCCCTTCCCCTAACCTAATCCTGACATGGTAAGAGCCTAGCTCGCACGCTGCTTCCTCCTGGGCTTGCCGGCCCGCTTCTTCCCCTCCCCAAGCTCGTCCCCACTGAACTGAAACGTATCCTCTGCTTCACTCGCCTCAGTCAACGCCTCACTCTCCTCTGCCGCCTCGTTCACTCAACAAGGAAACTATGGCAGCACAGCCAAAGCATCATGGAACCTACCTGGCACGCTGCTTCCTCCTGGGCTTGCCGGCCCGCTTCTTCCCGTCCCCAAGCTCGTCCCCGCTAAACTGAAACGTGTCCTCAGCTTCACTCGCCTCAGTCAACACCTCGCTCTCCTCTGTTGCCTCACTCATTCAGTCATTAGCCCTAAACCCCAAGCTCTCTCTCCTGACCACCAACACCAGAACAGTGAGACTGTGAGACTGTGAAACCTACCTGGCACGCTGCTTCCTCCTGGGCTTGCCGACCCGCTTCTTCCCCTCCCCAAGCTCGTCCCCACTGAACTGAAACGTGTCCTCAGCTTCACTCGCCTCAGTCAACGCCTCACTCTCCTCTGCAGCCCTCTTCCCCTTCTCCCTCTCCCTCTCCTCCTTACTCTTCCCCCCTTCCGCCCCCTTCCCAGCCTCCTCAATCGCCGCGGCCACCTTCCCAGCCAGGCCCGGCAGCGAGCCTAGCCCCTCGGTTCGGCCCCCCGAACCTGCAGCTTCGGCGGCAAACGCGGCCGAAAGCCCTCCGGACTTGCTAGCTGAGAAGCGGCCGGAAGAGGAGGCTCGTTTCACGCTGCTGCCGCGCCGCTTCCCAACACTCCTAGCAGGAGTGCCTTCGCGATTTGCCCGCTGCCCTCCCCCCTCCTCCTCCCCCTCATCATCAGCCTCCCCATCTGCTGCTGAGGGGATGTTGCGAGGGGCGAATAGGAGAGTCGCAGCAGGGGAAGAGGGAGCTGCATCGGCACCACCACCAGCAGCAGCATCAGCAGCGGCTGTAGCACCAGTGGCAGCAGCAGCAGCGTCGGGGGTTTCCTTCTTCTCTCCTTCGGGATCTTTTCCCTGCCCCTCGTCAGCGCCAGCAGCAGCCTCCTTCTCCCCCTCCCCCTTCTCCCCTCCCTTCTTCCCTGCCTCTCCTCCCTCTCCTCCCTCTCCTCCCTCTCCTGCCTTGGGTGCGTCCTCTGAGTGGGGAACCACAGCCTGCATGTGCCCCGTCGGCAGCAGCCAGTTACTCCAGTCATTCCGTCGCCTCAGCTTCTCACCCTGAGGATGGGAGAGGGGGAGGGGGAGGGAGAGATGGAGGGGAGGTAATGGCAGGGAGAGGAGGGGAGAGGGAGTGAGTGTGATGAATCAGCCTCCCTGCTCTGCTGCCCCCTCCTGACCGGGTGCGTCCTCTGAGTGGGGAACCACAGCCTGCATGGGCCCCGTGGGCAGCAGCCAGTTGCTCCAGTCATTCCGTCGCCTCAGCTTCTCACCCTGAGGATGGGAGAGGGGGAGGGGGAGGGAGAGATGGAGGGGAGGTAACGTCAGGGAGAGGAGGGGAGAGGGAGTGAGTGTGATGAATCAGCCTCCCTGCTCTGCTGCCCCCTCCTGACCGGGTGCGGGTAGCAGCCAGTTGCTCCAGTCATTGCACCGCCTCAGCTTCTCGCCCTGAGGGGTGTGGTGTGGGGGTAGAGGGGGGTGGGGGGAAGAGAGAAGGCGAGGGCAAGATAGGGTGAGATTGGAGATAAAGAGGGCAGCAGTGGGCAGCAGCCAGTTGCTCCAGTCACCGCACCGCCTCAGCTTCTCGCCCTGAGAGGTGGGGAACGGAGGGGAGAGAAGGGGGAACAGAGGGGGAGTGGAGGAGAAGAGGGGAGATAAAGAGGGTAGCAGTGGGCAGCAGCCAGTTGCTCCAGTCACTGCACTCCTCAGCTTCTCGCCCTGAGTGGGAGGGGGTTGGGGGAAGAGAGGGATGAGGTGGAGATGAGGCGACTTGAGAAAGGACAGAGGCGGCCAGAGGAGGAGAGAGGAGAGGAGAGAGGAGAGGAGAGAGGAGAGGAGAGAGGAGAGGAGAGAGGAGAGGAGAGAGGAGAGGAGAGAGGAGAGGAGAGAGGAGAGGAGAGAGGAGAGGAGAGAGGAGAGGAGAGAGGAGAGGAGAGAGGAGAGGAGAGAGGAGAGGAGAGAGGAGAGGAGAGAGGAGAGGAGAGAGGAGAGGAGAGTGGAGAGGAGAGAGGAGAGGAGAGAGGAGAGGAGAGAGGAGAGGAGAGAGGAGAGGAGAGAGGAGAGGAGAGAGGAGAGGAGAAAGGAGAGGAGAGAGGAGAGGAGAGAGGAGAGGAGAGAGGAGAGGAGAGAGGAGAGGAGAGAGGAGAGGAGAGAGGAGAGGAGAGAGGAGAGGAGAGAGGAGAGGAGAAAGGAGAGGAGAGAGGAGAGGAGAGAGGAGAGGAGAGAGGAGAGGAGAGAGGAGAGAGGAGAGGAGAAAGGAGAGAGGAGAGGAGAGAGGAGACAGGAGAGAGGAGAGAGGAGACAGGAGAGAGGAGAGAGGATAGAGGAGAGGAGAGAGGAGACAGGAGAGAGGAGAGAGGAGAGAGGAGACAGGAGAGAGGAGAAGGAGAGAGGGGAGGAGAGAGGAGACAGGAGAGAGGAGAGAGGAGAGAGGGGATACGAGAGATTTCAGAGACGAGAGAAACGAGAGAGGAGAGGCAAGAGTTGAGGGGAGGGAGGCACATGGGCATACGCCCATGGAGAGCGATACATGTACCTTCACTAGGATTTTGCCTCCAAGTTGAGACACTTCACTTGCCTTCACCTTATATATTCTAACGGAATCTCTGAAAAAACATCTCTGTCATACTGCAATTGGAGCTTATACCGAGACGACTTGAAACGAATGGGCAACCGCCACGTATACCCGCTCTCGCTTCGACTCATCAGCACTCCTTAAATTAAACCGCATGTTTGAAGGTAATTAGTGACTGACATGCACACCGCATACCTGCACTTCCACTGACGTGGAGTTGGCAAGGCAGCTGAGAATGAAGGCCTTGTCTAGCGTGAGCATGCGCACCTGGGGGAAGGGGGGTGGAGGGGGGGAGTGGGTAAGACGGGGGTAGGGGGTAAAGGAAAGAAAGGGGTGGAGAGGAGAGACTAATTGGAGTCGAGTTGGCAAGGCAGCTGAGAATGAATGCCTTGTCTAGGGTGAGCATGCGCACCTGGAAGGGAGCAGGGGGAGGGGAAGGAGTGGATAAGGGGAAAGGGCGAGGAAGCTCAAGGGCGTGGAAGCTCATGGGCGTGGAAGCTCATGGGCGTGGAAGCTCATGGGCGAGGAAGCTCATGGGCGTGGAAGCTCATGGGCGTGGAAGCTCATGGGCGAGGAAGCTCATGGGCGTGGAAGCTCATGGGCGTGGAAGCTCATGGGCGTGGAAGCTCATGGGCGAGGAAGCTCATGGGCGTGGAAGCTCATGGGCGAGGAAGCTCATGGGCGTGGAAGCTCATGGGCGAGGAAGCTCATGGGCGAGGAAGCTCATGGGCGTGGAAGCTCATGGGCGTGGAAGCTCATGGGCGTGGAAGCTCATGGGCGTGGAAGCTCATGGGCGTGGAAGCTCATGGGCGTGGAAGCTCATGGGCGTGGAAGCTCATGGGCGAGGAAGCTCATGGGCGTGGAAGCTCATGGGCGTGGAAGCTCATGGGCGTGGAAGCTCATGGGCGAGGAAGCTCATGGGCGAGGAAGCTCATGGGAGTTGGCAAGGGAAGTGAGCAATGAGGTCTTGTTGAGAGAGAGGGCATGCTTTTTTGAGAATTCACAAAGGCGATTCTTGAGGCGCTACCCTGTTAAAGCTGACTATTGACTTATACTACCTTGCTCAAACTTACCGTACTCAAGCGCAACCAGCTCAATCTCACTGCACTCAACCTTGCCGCACTCATCCTTACCGCACTCAATCTCACCCTGTTGAAAGCCGCAATAACGTCGACATGAATGAACTCTTCAGCATCCATCTTGGACCCAAGGAAGAGGTCGCTGCTTTGGTCAATGTTGCCGCACTTGACCACAACCAACCCAACCTTACCGCACTCAACCTTACTGCACTCAACCTTACCCTGTTGAAAGCCGCAATTACGTCCACGTGAATAAACCCTTCAGCGTCCATCTTGGACCGAAGGAAGAGGTCGCGACAGAGATTCTCAATGCTGGATGATGGGGGTTGGGGCAGACAGGGGATGAGGAAGAGCAAAGGAAGAGGTCGCGACACAGATTCTCAATACTGGATGATGGGGAGTGGGGCAGATCGGGGACTAGTTTTGAGGCGCCTCAAAACTAGACCCAGCTTGGATAGAAGGAAGAGGTTGCGACAGAGATTCTCAATGCTGGATGATGGGGGGTGGGTGGGGTAGATGGGGAACGGGGAAGAGCAGCTACCCACCTGAAGTAGTACTCGATCTGCTTGGTGAGTGCCGTTCGAGGCCCGACATGGGGTCCACCGGGACACGCAACTGAGACACAGCATGACTGGCAACAAGGGCAGCAGCTCTACCCACCTGAAGTAGTACTCGATCTGCTTCGTGAGCGCAGTGCGCAGGCCCGACATGGGGTCAACCGGGACAGGCGGCATGCGGTATTGCATGTAGTAGGGACCATTGGCTGCACGCACTAGTTGGGGGGGAAGTAGGAGAAACAGAAGAAGAAGAAGAAACGTAACTGAGCCTGATGTGACCATGAGAAGTGACAAGGGGTCAACAGCGACACGCGGCATGCGGTATTGCATGTAGTAGGGGCCATTGACTGTGTGCATTGATACATTGGTTGGTTAAGGGGCGGGTGCAGGGGTGGTAGGGAACGGATTGTGTGAAGGAGGGGAGGTACGAACGAGACACGGAAGAAGAAACTGAGCCTGATGTGAGAATGAGACATGGGGTCAACTCAACCGGGACAGAGGAGCCATGCGGTAGGGCACGTAGTAAGGGCCGTTGGCTGCATGTATTGGTTGGGGGGGAAGTAGGAGAGGTGGGTTGCCATGACACGACAATGGGGCAGCCATGGCTGCCGCCCATGCCATTGGCCATGGCAGCCGCGGACCTCCCTGGGCCCAGCAGCCTTTTCAGGCCTCAAAAGCCAGGCTTACCTTTGCTACTGTGCACTCTGCTCACCTCCCACCACCATGGGGTACCCATAGCTGCCGCCCATGCCATTGGCCATGGCAGCCGCGGACCTCCTGGGCCCAGCAGCCACGAATTCCGTCAGGGGGGGATCGTCCGCCACCACCACCACCCTCCCCTGCCCGCGCATGTGCCCCCCGCGCCCGCCCCCGCCCATCCCCCCATGCCCCCCCTGCCCGTGCTGCTTCTGCCCCTGCCCCTGCGCCTGCCCCTGCGCCTGCCCCTGAGCCTGCGCCTGTCCCTGCTGCCCCTGCGGCTGCTGCTGCTGCGCCTGTCCCCCAGGCTGCTGCTTCCGCTGCTGCGCCTGCCCCTGCTGCCCCCCCTGCCCGCGCCCAGCGCCGCCCTGAGGCTTCCCCTCGCCGTTCCCCCCCTGTGCGGGGCCCACATGCGCACGCCTCTGGTATCCCCCTCCCCCCACGCCTCCCCCCCTTCCGCCATGGTGCGCCCCCCCGCCCCCCTGATGGCCCCCGCGCTTGTACTGCCCCCCAGCCACCTCACGCACGCTCACAACTGCCACGTCAGCAGCGCCAGCCTTTCTGGCTGCGTCTGCTGCTGTAACCGCCGCTGCGCCGCTCTGCTTGTCTGACGTGGCAGCAGACGATTTGTCGCCTTCGTTTGCGATTATAGCAAGGCCAGCAGCAGGCTTGGCCTGCGGGGTTGGAATAGAAGGGTCGGAAACGGAAGACGAATGGGGAGGTGTGGTGGGGGGGGGGATGGGAAGAGGGGGAAGGGAAGGGAGAGAAAAGGGGGAAGGGGATTCGCAGCAGGGGTTGGGAGGGGTGCTGTGAGTTAGGAAGGTATGTTTCCATGCTTGTTCTTGTCATGCCCTAACCAGGCAATTGAGTAGAGTGGGAAGAAACGATAGGGCGGGAGGGAGAAGAACTGAGAGGAGGAAAACCAAGAGAGACTATAGCAAGATCAAAAGAGAGGCATTCGGAGGAGGATCAAAAGAGGCAATAGGAAGAGGATCAAACGAGGCAATTGGGGGAGGATCAAAGAGGCAATAGGAAGGAAATAAAGAGAGGCAATATGAGGAGGAGAAGGCAGGGCAGCAATGGAGTGTGTCAATTGCAGGTCAAGGCAATCCCTAACCCTCGCACTACCAACCTTACGCCACAGTCCTCGACTTTTCAAATTCTCGATGCTCCCAGATCGGATCTTATCATCCCACTCGCGTCCTCGAATCAATTCTCGAGGCGCTTCAGAGATATACTCCCTCGCTCGCTCACTTGTCGTCTCCATTCCTTTCCTACCATCAACACCGCCCTCTCTCATCTAATCAAACCAACCAATCATAATTCTGGGAAATTCCCAAATTTAACCCCGCCCACGCACCTTATCATCCCCGCCCGCGCCCTTGCCGTTTTCCGCCGCGCGCGCAGCAGCAGCATCCGCCTCGGAGAGCGCAGGCCACGCCGTTGCGCCAGCGCCCATCACCACGGCCGCGGCAGCCGCCGCCCCGCCCTTCTCGCCGTCCCTGTTGTGCTTGCGCCACGCCTGCTTCGGCGGCTTGTGCTCCTTAGGCTCTTTCCCCTCTTTCTGATCCTTCTGCTCCTTCGGATCCGACTTCCCGTCCTTCTTTCCGTGTCCCCCTCCTTTCGAGCCCTTACCCTCCCCGCCCTCCTTCGCACCGCCACTAGCACTCTCCTTGTCCTCACTCCCCTTCTCCTTCTCCTTATTCTTCTCAGAATCCTCCTTCTCGTCTCTCTTCTCCTCCTTCTTCTCCTCCTTTTTGTCCTTATCCTTATGCCATGCCTTGCCGCCCTTGCCTCCCTTCCCACCCCCTTCCCCCCTCCCTCCACCACCCTTCTGCCCCCCCGAGCCTGCATTACCACCCCTCCCCCCACCCTGCTTCGCTGATTCCGACCCCGCTTTGGTATCCGCCCCACCAGCCTTTCCCCCAGCCTGCTTCGCAGGCTCGGCACTCGCCGGCGCGTCTCCAGCTGCGTCCGAACCTCGCACGAGCGAAGCTAACCCCTCATCAGGCCCGGGGTGCGTTCGGGCCTTGCCTGGCTCACTCTTAACCACCTGCGCCCATACCCCTTTTCCAGGCTTCCCTTTGACCTGCCAAACCGAGCCCTTGCCAGACGCTCCATGCCCATGCCCATGCCCATGTCCATGTCCGTGCGCATGTCCGTGCCCGTGCCCATGCGCATTCCCCCCTGCGCCCCCCCCGCTTGCGCCTTTCCCCTCGTTGGAATCACTTCCGGTTTTCGGACCCGCCGCGCCGGCCGTCGCGCTTCCGCTATCTCCGCCATCCCCGGCCTTCCCTGCGCCTTCCGCTGCGCCAGAAGCTCCGGCCGCTCCGGCAGCGGCGTTGCCGTCCGCCGAAGCAGCTCCAGCAGGGGGAGCTGCCGCAGCAGCAGCACCAGCAGCGCCACCGGATTTGGCGGCGGCGACAGCGCCGCCTTTGCCGGCAACACCGCCTCTACCCCCACCGCTCGATTTGTCGCCGGAGCCTCCGGGTCCCCCGGATCCTCCTCCATGACCGTGCGAACGTCTGTAACCACCTGCATTGCGATTTCCGCCGTGATGGTGGTGCGGATCCCTGCCTCCGCGGCCTCGTCCCCTCCAATGCCCCCTGTTGCCATCTCGTCTCTCGCGTGACGTCACCGTCTGCCAACCGTCCCCCTTGTCCGCATTGTCGGCTGACGCGTCGGCGTCAGGAGCCTTTTTAGGTTCAGAGGCCTTTTCGGCTTCGACGAGCTTCTCAGGCTCGGGTGCTTTTCCAGGTTCGGCAGCGGAAGGTGCAGGGACCTTCGAAGCATCTCCCTCGACGGGAGCGGGTTTGTCAGCTTCGGTAGACATGAGCGGATCTTACTCCTAACCTAAACCAGTCCCAGAATTCCTTTCTCTCAGCAGTAAAGAATGGCCTAGGAGAAACCGACGAACTCTATTATTAAACCCCAGACCCCTGATGTAACCAACTGACTATTCCGCTGCTACGACTATTTTTGTAAATTCCAATCTGAAACAACGTCAGTGAATTATCTAAATCTACCTATCTAGCCTGTCGAACTACAGCCGAATAATGAGAGCTTTGAACAGACAACAGGAGATAAGCGTCACCAGTGCAAGACTCCGTTGCAGTAGCCACTGCGTGGAAAGAGGACTGTTTTTTCCAACTTTTCCTACTTGAAACACAATCCCGAGGCGTAGCAAAGGAGCAGGAGGGGGAGAGGGAAACTCGAGGCAGATAGGAGGGATGATGTCATGAGGACAAAAATTCCCCTTGGCTGGTGAAAAGTGTAATGATGCGGGATAACCCAAACCAAACGACCAATCAAATTCCGAGGTAGAGATGAAATCCCAAGAAAATAAGCTTCGAACCCCATCATCCACCCAGACACTATCAAAATCGGGTAACCATGTTTCCCGTAAGCCTTGCTCTCACGAAAGGAGTTAACGACGAAAGGCACTTCGCTATGGTTGGTTTTGCATCAGACGAACTGGTTCCTTGTGTCTTCCGGAAGGAGGTGAGGCATACCGAACCTATCCGACACCCTCGAGAACTTATACGTATAGCTTTGGCGTCACCGAGCCGAACTCGAAATTCGATTAAAGTGCGACGCGAGCATCTGGACGAATGGGATCCCGAGAATGACTCAGCGGAATTTGCTTTTCGCCGACCTGTCAACCTTTGAGACGCTAATTTTGGAGCGGGGCAAGTTAGTCTGGTAAGGGTGTGGCTGGGACACCAACCAGGCTTGCACCTTGAAGTCTGTCAGGCACAGCAGAATCAGGGGAGTTCGTTTTTGCGGCACAACACGGCTTTGTTGATAAATCTCTACGGTTGAGAAAAAGACACCATTACAAATTGAGAACCACAAAATGTGTCATACCGGTCAAAGAAAGTATCTCAGAATGGCTAGCACACATTTGCCAAGTTCTAGCCATTCAAGCCGCCTTCTCACATTTTCAAAAACCACAAGCAGTTTTGGGGACCCAACCATCTCCGTTTTGAAATAGGTACACACCACCATAATATACACTCTCGAGCTCCTATCCATTCCCACACTACTTTTTGCTACAACAGCTGTGTTCTACTTGAAAGCTGCAACATGCGCATCTACCCAAGCCTTCACAGAAATGGGGGGATGTCCCAGAATGTTCTCTAGAGTCTTCCCATTAGCAGGGTCATTGGTTTGTACAGCCCCAGCATTAATGGATTTGAAGAGCTCAATCACCCCATCAGCTTGCCACTCCGGAAAACCACTGTGAGTCAACCAATCCTTGCTAGCCTCGTAAGGAACCTGCAGCAACGAGGGGAAAAACACAGGATATGTTAGGTGACGGTAACTTCACAGAAGGCTAACAGAGCTGCAAAATCAGCACTGGAGTTTCAGTGCTGGGCGGTGGGACTTACAAAGTTGTATGAGACTGTTTTGCCAAGAGCACTGGAAAAAGCCGCTGCGATATCAGTGGCTGTTGCGGAGGGTCCGGTCAGGTTGTAAGTCTTCCCCTTATGTGCCTCCGGATCAGCTAAGATTTTCGCTGCAGCTTCCCCGACATCTGCAGGAAAAAAAAGGGTGCAGGCAGAAAATATGGTCAGACAGTGGTGCATACACCTTGTTTCACCTTGCACTGAAACCACATACTGCATGCACTGAAACCACATGCTGCATGCACTGAAACCACATACTGCATGCACTGAAACCACATGCTGCATGCACTAAAACCACATGCTGCATGCACTGAAACCACGTACCGTCCACAGAAACCGCAGTGAAGGGCTTGTCAGGCTCGTACGACGAATAGATGGCGCTCGCATCCTTGATGCTTTCAGCAAAGCCGTAGTTATTCTCCATGAACAGCGGCAGACGAATGATGGTGAACGGCACGCCGGACGCCTTCGCGTGTGCTTCTACAGGCGCAAACTGCCCGCCGAAAATCGTGTCTGTGAGTTCAGCAGTGGATACCGAGAGGACAAGGATGAACTGGGGGGAGGGAGGGGGGGAGAGGAGAGGGGAAGGGGAAGGGGGGGGGGAGGGGAAGTTGAAGGTTGCGTGTGTAGGGGAGGGAGAAGTTGAGCAAAGAATAACGCAGTAGCATAAAATGACAACAGCAGAAAACGAACTGGCTCAAAGCGACTGAAGAGTAGTAACACAATCAGCATTGTCAACTCACCTTCGCGCCTGCAGCCTTGGCAGCGTCAATGGCAGCGATAGAAATCTTCTGACGGTCGGCGTGACCAGGAGCGATCACGAACACGTAGTCCACTCCCTGAAGCGCTGCCGCGATGTCCGCCGTTTTCAGCGGGTCCGCAGCGACCGGAGAAGCGTTGGGCGCGAGTGCGGCGAGGTCGGCGGATTTTGTGGGGTCGCGAACGCCTGCTTTCACGGTGAAGCTGTCAGGTGACTTGCCGAGCGCCTGGAACGACGGGAGATGATCGGATTAGGACCGAACAAATGCATCACCAAGAAAAACACGAGGCATAGGTGAAAAATGTGAAAGCTAGAGATTCAGATAGAGCGACGAAGATAATTTAGACTTCATTCAAGATAGGATGGCGAAGCGGAAAAGAATATCCATACCTTGATTGTCGCCTTGCCAATCGCCCCACTAGCCGCGGTGATAAGAATGGTCTTTGACGCCATGATATGAGCTTATCAGGGCACGTCACACGTCTTGAGATTTGATTTTCCTATCAGCGAGAAAAGGAGAAGCTCGGATAATCGACTACTAGAAATCCCTGATAATCTTGAAGCCGCGCGACGACATTTATAAGCTTCAGCTATCTTCACAGAATACCGCATCGCCATGGGAAATTCTAGGAGCTGGAATTGGGGCGTCGAGGACTTGCCACTCGCAACTTCCAGGCAGCAGACATGCAGGTAGTCACGCGACTGTTTTGACGATTTCATGACGATCTCGCCATTTGAGGATTTGACGGACAGGTACATGGAATCCAGAGACAACGAATCTAGTCAAAGAGTGGGCGAACTTTCTGCGACGAGAAAGGCCGTCGCTCAGCGACTTGTGCTTCTCGACTGTTCCATAAACCAGACGGGCTTCGTCGAAATTATGACAATACGCGGTATGGGATGCTCGGCTGGACGATTAACGAAAGTGCTGTGGTGACCAATTACGTGTATTCATGGTAGAAATGTATTCTAGTCATGCATCCACCCCAATGATCATTAACCCGCCACCAACTCAGATTTGACCGTTTATCGCACAATTCACTCCATTACGGTTGAGTGAGATGTCAAAACGTTTTTCTGCATACTTGAAGGGTCTGGTAGGGTGCCCAGCGAAGAACCGAACTCGGGTCAGTCATCTCCAACATCCTACTCCTTCGTCCCTGAGCTGTGCCATGGAAAGAGTGTCTCTGGAACCAACTCATAGAGCTTGAACTGCTTGTTGCCATCGAATCCGCTGTTCCTTTGAATGTATTTACTACCCATCCCAGCCAGCAACGTCTTCGCCTTGCTTAGATTTGAGAACTTTCGTCTAGTTTTTTCTTCGTTTAGCTTCGCAAATCTCCTGTTGTCCTGTTGTTATCGAAGCTCGCGAAGGGTACCGGTAATTTTTTCAAGGACCTAATGCGAACAGGTTTCCGTTGAACCCGCTCAATCCCTGTGAACCTACTAACAAGTAGGACGTCGTGGCGCAATTAGTCGAGACTGACCGTTTCTTAATCTACATCTACCGTTTAGCGTCGAGTCTCGCAGCGCAGTTGCCTCTACCCTTTCATTCAGCAGATCTACCCTAACGAAGTGGACTCACACGCAAAACTCGATCCCTACTAATCTCCAGTGACCCCTTGAAACAAGCATCGTCCTTCACGATGGGTCCTCAAGACGACGTCTCTCTGTCGTTCGATACGAACCCCAATCTCACCTTCCCCCAGCATCGACGGCCACAAGGAGCCCATCAGCAGCAACCCATGCAGTTTCAGCCGCAGCCAGGAATGGGTCCAGGTCCGGGGCTAGGTTCGGGTCCGGGCTTCGGCCCAGGCCTAGGTTCGGGTCCAGGTTCGGGCTTCGGCCCTGCAGCTGGTGGCCCACCAGGCGGCAACATGGCGTTTATGTCCTTCGATATGAGCAAGCCGAGTGAGTGTATAAGTGGAAATTTTGTGATTATAAAGGGGTGAAGCTAGTTGTGGCGGCGATTTGGTCAGTAAGCCAATGACCGAAAGCCCAGAAGCTGGGGGGGTATTACACTCATCACCCGTTACCCGCGCTCGTTACTGTCACGGTACGATTGTCACGAATCGTTTTTCGCTTCTTGTTTCGAGCACACCGTGCCTCGCAGGTCGTCCGGTTCATACGCCCGTTGTTGTCACGTTTCGTTTTGTCACAACTCATTGTCTCCCACCCCGTGTCTCGCAGGTGCCTTGGCGCCTCCCCCTCAGGCGGGCCCGCGCTTCGGAGGCCAGTCGCAGTACGACGGGTCTGGCGGGCTGTTCGGCCAGAACTCGTTTGAAGACGAGCTGCCTCTGCTGGAAGGTAATAACTCGTTATAGATGATGCGGCATTTGCAGTACGACGGGTCTGGCGGGCTGTTCGGCCAGAACTCGTTTGAAGGCGAGCTGCCTCTGCTGGAATGCAATAACTCGTTATAAGGTGATTTGAACATTAAGCCCACTCATGGTGGCTCAACAGGCAGATAGCGATATGGGACCTTATTTCTATCAACATTGACCACTATATCTCTATGCAATGGGGTCTTCATCATGTCATATGCCTTCTCCCTTCATCTCCTCTCTCCCTTGACCTCCTCCTTGTCCCCAACAGAGCTCGGAATCAACATGCCTCAGATCCTGAGAAAGACCGCCTCGACTCTGAACCCCATCCGCATCAACATCGACCTCCACGACGATGGGATGGGACTTCACGTGAAATAGAATGGCTAACTTCCCTCTTTCTCCCTGCGGGCCTCCTTTCACCTTCTTCTAGATCCCAACAGAGCTTGGAATTAACATCCCTCAGATCCTGAGAACGACCGCCTCGGCTCTGAACCCCATCTGCTCCGCATCAGCATTGATCTCTAAGACCATGGGATGTGGACCCTATGTGGTGTAAAACGGCGCACCCACCGCTCTTCGTCTCTCCCTCCCTTTCATCTCCATCCCTTTCATGTCCTCTCCCTTCCATCTCCATCCCTTCCATCTCCTCTCCCCAACAGTGCTGGGAATCAACATCCCTCAGATCCTGAGAACGACCGCCTCGGCGCTGAACCCCATCCGAATCAACATTGACGTCTAGGATGATGGGGACCTTATGTGGCACCCGCCTCTCTCCTTCTCTCACCCCTTTCATCTCCCTCCCTCAGAGCTCGGAATCAACATCCCTCGGATCCTGAGAAAGACCGCGTCGGCGCTGAACCCCATCCGAATCAACATTGACCTCTACGACGATGGGGACCTGTCCGGCCCGCTCATCTTCTGTGTGCTCTTCGGCCTCTGCCAGCTCATGGTACGTTTTGTGTCGTCGAATCGTCTCATGGTGTGATAGAGCATCACTTAACAGCTTCAGCCGTACAGGGCAGCAAGTTACACCTGTCCGGCCCGCTCATCTTCTGCGTTCTCTTCGGCCTCTGCCAGCTCATGGTACGTTTGATTGTGGAATTCTGTCGTGGTACGTTAGAGCATGTTGCACCTGTCCGGCCCGTTCATGTAGTGTGTGGTCTTCGCCTCTGCCAGTGTATGCTGCTTGTTGTGAGACACTCCCATGGTACTGCATGCGGTGAAGTTCTCTCCCTCCCTCCCACCCTCCCAATCCGTGGAATGCGGCTTGATTCTACTCTTGTTGTGCTTTGCTTGCTGTTTGTTTGTCTTGCTTTCATGGCAAGTCAAACACGCCAAGGTGCACTTTGGGGTGGTGCTTGGGTGGTCCGTGGTGGTGCACTCTCATTCATTGTTGTGAATCCCGGCTCCAATCTCTTTCCCATTCTTGCGTCGCCGCTTCTCGTTTGCCTTGTGTGCATCGCAGCATGCCAAGGTGCACTTTGGGGTGGTGCTTGGGTGGTCCGTGGTGGCATCGACATTCATCTACACCGTTTTTAACCTGCTCGTTGGAGCTAGGTGGGTAATGAGTGTACTGAGTTGCACGAGGGTTAGTGCTTGGGAGGTTTTTGAAGGACCTATCATAGTCGTTCGTTGAGGCGTCGATTTTCATCAACACCGTCTTCAGCCTGCTAGTGGGGGCAAGGCAAGGTGTGTGTCGAGTGGGGGCGAGGTGTGTTGTGTAATTACTGGCACGAGAGGTAGGGTTGAGAGGGTTCTGAGGATGAGCGACAACACTAACTCTCAGAGCTTGTCAGTGGTGGTGTGGCATCGACTTCCATCCACACCGCTTTCAACCTGCTCGTGTGAGCGAGCTGGATAGTGAATTGGAGCAAGGGGTGTGGTGATTGGGATCTGTACCGCTGTTTTTTCACCGCATGTCAGGTTGAAGGTCCTGCTCGTGGTCTCCTTCCCACTCCCCCCCCATCTCCTCCCCCCCTCTCTCCCCCCACTCTCAGGTCAGTGCACGCAAGGCTGGACCTGTACCGCTGCTGCTCCATCTTCAGATCAACTAAAAGACCTCTTTTGCACTCTCGACCACTCTCGACCACTCTCCACCACTCTACTCATGCCACTCTCAGGTCAGCGCAGGCAACGCTGGACCTGTAGCGCTGCCGCTCCATCTTCAGATCAAGTGAAAAGGCCCTTCCCACTCTCGCCCACTCTTCTCTTCCTCATCCACTCATACCGTTACACAGGTCGTCCCAAGCAGGGCTGGACCTGTACCGCTGCTGCTCCATCTTCAAATCAACTGAAAGGTGCCTTCCGCACTCTCAACCACTCTCCACCACTCTCCCCCATTCTCCACTCATTTCATTCCACAGGTCGTCCCAAGCAGGGCTGGACCTGTACCGCTGCTGCTCCATCTTTGGCTATGGGCTGCTTCCCATGGTGCTATACTCCGCTGTCTCTATCTTCTTCCCCCGGAGGTGTGTGACACATGCACTCGGTTAGTAGCGCATGAGCTAATAATAGCTGCTCCATCTTTGGCTATGGGCTGCTGCCCATGGTGCTCTACTCCGCTATCTCAATCTTCTTTCCTCGAAGGTGTGTATCATATCATGCGGTAGTGTCACACTATCAAGTGGAAACACGCTTTCGGTTAGTAGCACATGAGCTGGTAACAGAAGTGTGGCCTGCTGCTCCATATTCGGGTATGGGCTGCTGCCCATGGTGCTGTACTCGGCCGTCTCTATTTTCTTCCCCCGCAGGTGTGTAACACAAATAAGTATATAAACACATTGGTTAGTAAGTCATCAATAAGTAACACACTGGTTATTAACTTATTGGTAAGTCACACATTGGTGGCAGGGGGGTGCTCACAGCAGTGGCAGCAGCGGTGGCTATAGTGTGTGGTGCACGCGGACAGCAGCGTCTCTCCTGGTGGCAACAGTCCCGCAAGCTAACGCACCCTCCTATACCTGACTTGGTTTGTCTACTCGTGTGTGCCTTATCGTGCATGTTGCAGGGGAGTGCTCACAGCAGTGGCAGCAGCGGTGGCCATAGTGTGGTGCACGCGAACAGCAGCATCCCTCCTGGTGGCTACAGTCCCACAAGCCAATCCGCTCACCTGTTTCTGTCTCACTTGTCTATGTGCCTTGTGGTGCTTGCTGTTGCAGGGGAGTGTTAACAGCAGTGGCAGCAGCGGTGGCCATAGTGTGGTGCACGCGAACAGCAGCGTCTCTCCTGGTGGCGATTGTCCCACAAGCAGACGACGTGCGAGCACTCATTGCCTTCATGTGCATTGTGACCTACTTCTGCTTTGCCCTCCTGGCTGTAATGGATTTATGACTGCAGATACATGACTGCAGCTCGCTAAAAAATATGGTAAAATCAGGTGCAAGTTTACACGATGACGGGAGCAGGTGTTTTCACATGTGTATTACCAAGCATATGGTATCCAGTATATAGTTGATAACAGATAGAGTGTTTAGTCCTTTTGACCGAAAATTGCAGTAAACAGCGAATAGCGAACAGCCAACAGCGAACAGCAGACAGCGTGTAGCAGACAGCCAACAGCAGACAGCGATTCGCGTCGCGAACAACCAACTGCCAACAGTGCCAACATCCAAAGCGAACAGCGAACTGGCAGGAGCGTCCAATAACGGGGATGGTGGCTGTATTGTCTAACATACACACAGGCTGGACTCACGCGAAGGTGAAGTCAGGTTTGATGTTTACCGTTTCGCACCGTGACGCAGCAAATTAGACCGCAGAGTACGTATAGGAGACACACCACCTCACCATGCCCTGAGCCACCAAAGCTTCTTCTTTGATAGGTGATTGTTCGTCCGCAAATTACGCTCCTCTTCATTATTTAGTCCCCACTTGACTTAGAAGCCGACCGAATTTCCGCGTCCGTTAGAGATGAGTGCCTTCACGTCAAACTTTTCATGTTTTTTTGCTTAGTATGAATAACTACAAGGCCGTCTACCGCGGTTAGAAATCTGAGAACCATTGGCAGCAATTGCGAGGCGAGATGCTAGACGATACGCACGGATTTTCGAGACAAATCCTCGTATGAGTCTCCTGATGGGTTGTCCTATAAGGAGTACGCAATCCCTTCAATCAGCAAACTCTCCCAGCAGCTCCCACACGCTTCCATCCAGAAGCTTCCAACTTACACAATATGGCGCCTGCAGCAGCAGCAGCGGTGACGGCAGCATGGCTTATAATAATAATACACTGGGACTCCCTGACAAGCCGCTGACACTCCCTGAGATATTCCCACAGGAATTATCATATGAACCACTGGGATTATCAGAAGAGCCACTGCGAACCCCTGAAGACGATCCACAGGAACCTTCCGATAAAGACCCACTGGCACCTTCAGAAGCAGATTCTCTCAACAGCTCACCCTTCACGACATCTGACCAGCTCCGTTCCTCCCGGAAATCCCCGTCTCGCACCCTCCGAGATTACGTTTCCGTCTTTACCGTCCTTACCTTTTGCACGGCCGTGATTGGATCCTATCTCACAATCAAGATGTATTTCGAGCCGTACGTTTTCCGCGATGACGTGGACAGTTTCCTTGTCAGCAGAGCGGTACAGACGGAGATGCAGCTAAGGCCTCCTGTAAACCAGCTCGTTCCAATCACGGAGTTACCAGCGTCAGTGCGAAGTCAAGATTATTCTCAAGGGAGTCAGAGAGAGGAGGAGAGAGATCTCAGTCAAATGGGACATGGAGAGGAGAGGGTTCACCCTCACAAGAGTCTACAAGGGGAGAAATACGATGTGGACGTGGGGAGTTTGTCAGAGCTGAGTCGGATATCAATTCAGGCGCTCGAGGGGAGAAGAAGCAACAGAAGCAGCCGGATAACGGATCATGAGCTCGAAGAGGGAAGCAGCAATGAAAGCAGCCCACAGCAGCAGCAGGCGCTGCCATTCAGAACCGTTGATTACAATCCCACCACCACCACCAGCAGACCTCCTAAGATCGCCTTCCTGTTTCTTACCAGAGGGCCTCTCCCCTTGAGACCCCTGTGGGAGGAGTTTTTCCGTGGAAATATGGACTGGGCTTCGATCTACGTGCATGCTGGCACAGAGGGTTTCAGTGTGGATTCTCATGTTGGGAATGGCAGCGTGTTTTGGGGAACGCAGATTCCAGGCCTGAGGATTATAAGGGGGATGCCATCAATGATTCAAGCCACTCGTAGGCTTCTGGCGTCCGCATTACAAGACCCGGCCAATCAGAGGTTTGTGCTTGTATCAGAAGCATGCATTCCCATTCGCCATTTTAACTTCGTCTACACCTATCTCTTTACAGGAGATAGGAGCTTTCTTGCTGTGCTTCCCACGCTCCGCTGGTGGCGATTCCCGAGATATTTCTGGATATTTGTGCCACGTCAGGTGCTGCATCCGTGGCAGCTTTCCTTGTGGTCGAAAACATGAAGTATTACGTGGTTTTCGGCAGGGGTAGGGGTGAATACCCCGATGAAAGCTACATTCAGACTGTCGTCTGGGGTTATGATCGGAGCGGCATAGAGCCTCACTCCGTCACACACGTGGATTGGCCAGCTTACAATTCTGAGCATCCAACCATGTACTCAGGCAGCAGTGTAACGAGGGAGCTTATAGAGAGGATGCAAAAGAGGCATTCTCCAGTTTCAGAGGCGGTGAGCCTGCAGGAGGTGTCTTTTCCTGGCCCTTGTAGAGTGGCGGGGGAGCTTGCCCCTTGCTTTCTGTTTGCACGCAAGTTTGCAGCTGATTCTGTGGATGCTCTCATGGGACTGAGGGACACTCTGGGTTACTGATGACAAGAGGTTTTAGACAGATTTGGTGAAGGGCAGAACAGTTGTGGGTGTACTTCATTTTGCCTTTCCCTGTACAGGAAGTCCCATCCCATGGCATTATTGGAGTGTACACAGGCGTCAGCGAAATCTGAACGAATCACTTGATCAATTCTAAGGACTAGTTCATTCTACAACATTCAGTGTACAGAAGGCTTGACTTCATGAGTGACCTGGCACACCTGGCATCCTTGCAATGCATGGGCCCTCACAGCACTGAGCCGCCCATCAGTACCCTGCAGGACCAACGTCCTTGCGCGGGTTGCTCACTGCAGTGAGCCGCCCAGCAGACAATATTAGATTCCCCTCCATGTGAGCTTTACCATAATCAACCCCCAGCAGGACCTCCGTCCTTGCATGGATCGCTCACTACGGTACTGTAAGACGGCCAACAGACGGTACACAGAAGTGACGACTAATTACGTCACAGAGGGTTTCATCTTGTCCTCATCCGTCAATACCCAGCAGGACCACCATCCTTGCGCGGGTCGCTCACTGCAGTGAGCCGGCCAAGAAGCGGAGGTGGAAAGCCTCGCTCAGTCGTCGCAAGCTTGGCTGCTTTCTGGTCTGCAATGAGTTTCCTGCCGGGCCCACGCGATGGCACTGTTACAGGGGACGGCACTGCTGCAGACCATGGCACTGTTACAGGGGACGGCACTGTAACAGTGCCAACAGAGTCCAACATTTGCGCTGCAGCACGGTTTGCAGCACTGCTAGGGCCGTCCAGGTCTTGCACGATAAGCTGAACGAAGCCCCCGAATTGAATGGGGAAGGTGGAGTGGTTGCGGCGGGCCAAGGCAGCGAGGGTTGCGTTGGGCACAGAGATGCGCTCGCCGTCGTCGAGAGCATGACCTGCCTCGTAGAACACCGTGTTGGGGAGCAGCTGGACGGGAGCATAGGGGGAACGTGGGGCACAAGGGTCAAGGCGGGAAGGGTTGCGTTGGGCACTGAGATGCGCTCGCCATCGTCGAGAGCGTGGCCCGCCTCATAGAAGAGCGTGTTGGGCAATAGCTGGAGGGGAGGGGGGTGTGCCGGGCATGTGGAGTTTGGGAAGTATTTATGTGTTGATTCACAGATTGGGCAGTGAGATTCGTCGAGAGCGTGACCCTCAACCCTCGTAGAACAATGTACTCCGCAGCAGCTGTAAGGGGGGGAAAGAGGGGATGAGAATGTGGATTATGGGAAGGTTTTATGAGTTGATTCATAGACTGGGCACTGAGATGCGCTCACAATGGTTGAGAGCGTGAGCCGCCTCGTAGAACAATGTGTTGGGCAGCAGCTGGTGGGGAAGCAGGGGGGATACGGGGCAATCGTAACATATGTAGCAGGTGAGTTATTCTGGTTGTCGAGAGCGTGATCCGCCTTGTAGAACAATGTGAATGGTAGCAGCTGGCTGGGAGGGGAAGAGAGGTGCGGCATGTGGGATATGGGAAGTATTCAGAAGATGATTCATAGATTGGGCACGTGATTCATATATCGGGCATGTGATTCATAGATCGGGCAGTGAGATGTGCTCGCCATCGCCGAGAGCATGACTCGCATCGTAGAACAACGTGGTGGGCAGCAACTGGCAGAGGAGGGAGCAGGAAGCGGAGGGCGTGGGAGAGCGGGAGGGGGACGGGAATGAGGGGGACATGGGAAGCACTTATGAGCCCTTCTCGTTGGCGGAGTAGACGAATGAGGTGGGCAGCTGGAGGGGAGATAATCAAGGCAAACAGAATGTGTGTGTGGATGTGAACGTGCACGTGCATGTGCATGAGAAAAAACAAAATGTGCATGTCCACGTGCATGTCCATGTGCATGTCCACGTGCATGTCCACGTGCATGTCCATGTGCATGTCCACGTGCATGTCCATGTGCATGTCCACGTGCATGTCCACGTGCATGTCCACGTGCATGTCCATGTGCATGTCCACGTGCATGTCCACGTGCATGTCCACGTGCATGTCCATGTGCATGTCCATGTGCATGTCCACGTGCATGTCCATGTGCATGTCCACGTGCATGTCCATGTGCATGTCCACGTGCATGTCCATGTGCATGTCCACGTGCATGTCCACGTGCATGTCCACGTGCATGTCCACGTGCATGTCCACGTGCATGTCCACGTGCATGTCCACGTGCATGTCCACGTGCATGTCCACGTGCATGTCCACGTGCATGTCCACGTGCATGTCCACGTGCATGTCCACGTGCATGTCCACGTGCATGTCCACGTGCATGTCCACGTGCATGTCCACGTGCATGTCCACGTGCATGTCCACGTGCATGGCCACGTGCATGTCCACGTGCATGTCCATGTGCATGTCCACGTGCATGTCCACGTGCATGTCCACGTGCATGTCCACGTGCATGTCCACGTGCATGTCCACGTGCATGTCCACGTGCATGTCCATGTGCATGTCCACGTGCATGTCCATGTGCATGTCCACGTGCATGTCCACGTGCATGTCCATGTGCATGTCCACGTGCATGTCCATGTGCATGTCCACGTGCATGTCCATGTGCATGTCCACGTGCATGTCCATGTGCATGTCCACGTGCATGTCCACGTGCATGTCCACGTGCATGTCCACGTGCATGTCCACGTGCATGTCCACGTGCATGTCCACGTGCATGTCCACGTGCATGTCCACGTGCATGTCCACGTGCATGTCCACGTGCATGTCCACGTGCATGTCCACGTGCATGTCCACGTGCATGTCCATGTGCATGTCCACGTGCATGTCCACGTGCATGTCCACGTGCATGTCCACGTGCATGTCCACGTGCATGTCCACGTGCATGTCCACGTGCATGTCCACGTGCATGTCCACGTGCATGTCCACGTGCATGTCCACGTGCATGTCCACGTGCATGTCCACGTGCATGTCCATGTGCATGTCCACGTGCATGTCCATGTGCATGTCCACGTGCATGTCCACGTGCATGTCCACGTGCATGTCCATGTGCATGTCCACGTGCATGTCCACGTGCATGTCCACGTGCATGTCCATGTGCATGTCCACGTGCATGTCCACGTGCATGTCCATGTGCATGTCCACGTGCATGTCCATGTGCATGTCCACGTGCATGTCCACGTGCATGTCCACGTGCATGTCCATGTGCATGTCCACGTGCATGTCCATGTGCATGTCCACGTGCATGTCCACGTGCATGTCCACGTGCATGTCCACGTGCATGTCCACGTGCATGTCCACGTGCATGTCCACGTGCATGTCCACGTGCATGTCCACGTGCATGTCCACGTGCATGTCCACGTGCATGTCCACGTGCATGTCCACGTGCATGTCCACGTGCATGTCCACGTGCATGTCCACGTGCATGTCCACGTGCATGTCCACGTGCATGTCCACGTGCATGTCCACGTGCATGTCCACGTGCATGTCCACGTGCATGTCCACGTGCATGTCCACGTGCATGTCCACGTGCATGTCCACGTGCATGTCCACGTGCATGTCCACGTGCATGTCCACGTGCATGTCCACGTGCATGTCCACGTGCATGTCCATGTGCATGTCCACGTGCATGTCCACGTGCATGTCCACGTGCATGTCCACGTGCATGTCCACGTGCATGTCCACGTGCATGTCCATGTGCATGTCCACGTGCATGTCCATGTGCATGTCCACGTGCATGTCCACGTGCATGTCCATGTGCATGTCCACGTGCATGTCCATGTGCATGTCCACGTGCATGTCCATGTGCATGTCCACGTGCATGTCCATGTGCATGTCCACGTGCATGTCCACGTGCATGTCCACGTGCATGTCCACGTGCATGTCCACGTGCATGTCCACGTGCATGTCCACGTGCATGTCCACGTGCATGTCCACGTGCATGTCCACGTGCATGTCCACGTGCATGTCCATGTGCATGTCCACGTGCATGTCCATGTGCATGTCCACGTGCATGTCCACGTGCATGTCCACGTGCATGTCCACGTGCATGTCCACGTGCATGTCCACGTGCATGTCCACGTGCATGTCCACGTGCATGTCCACGTGCATGTCCACGTGCATGTCCACGTGCATGTCCACGTGCATGTCCACGTGCATGTCCATGTGCATGTCCACGTGCATGTCCACGTGCATGTCCACGTGCATGTCCACGTGCATGTCCACGTGCATGTCCATGTGCATGTCCACGTGCATGTCCACGTGCATGTCCACGTGCATGTCCATGTGCATGTCCACGTGCATGTCCATGTGCATGTCCACGTGCATGTCCATGTGCATGTCCATGTGCATGTCCACGTGCATGTCCATGTGCATGTCCACGTGCATGTCCATGTGCATGTCCACGTGCATGTCCATGTGCATGTCCACGTGCATGTCCATGTGCATGTCCACGTGCATGTCCACGTGCATGTCCACGTGCATGTCCATGTGCATGTCCACGTGCATGTCCACGTGCATGTCCACGTGCATGTCCATGTGCATGTCCACGTGCATGTCCATGTGCATGTCCACGTGCATGTCCATGTGCATGTCCATGTGCATGTCCACGTGCATGTCCATGTGCATGTCCACGTGCATGTCCATGTGCATGTCCACGTGCATGTCCATGTGCATGTCCACGTGCATGTCCACGTGCATGTCCACGTGCATGTCCACGTGCATGTCCACGTGCATGTCCACGTGCATGTCCACGTGCATGTCCACGTGCATGTCCACGTGCATGTCCATGTGCATGTCCACGTGCATGTCCATGTGCATGTCCACGTGCATGTCCACGTGCATGTCCACGTGCATGTCCATGTGCATGTCCACGTGCATGTCCACGTGCATGTCCACGTGCATGTCCATGTGCATGTCCACGTGCATGTCCATGTGCATGTCCACGTGCATGTCCATGTGCATGTCCATGTGCATGTCCACGTGCATGTCCATGTGCATGTCCACGTGCATGTCCATGTGCATGTCCACGTGCATGTCCATGTGCATGTCCACGTGCATGTCCACGTGCATGTCCACGTGCATGTCCATGTGCATGTCCACGTGCATGTCCACGTGCATGTCCACGTGCATGTCCATGTGCATGTCCACGTGCATGTCCACGTGCATGTCCACGTGCATGTCCATGTGCATGTCCACGTGCATGTCCATGTGCATGTCCACGTGCATGTCCATGTGCATGTCCGGCATGTCCATGTGCATGTCCACGTGCATGTCCATGTGCATGTCCACGTGCATGTCCATGTGCATGTCCACGTGCATGTCCATGTGCATGTCCACGTGCATGTCCACGTGCATGTCCACGTGCATGTCCACGTGCATGTCCACGTGCATGTCCACGTGCATGTCCACGTGCATGTCCACGTGCATGTCCACGTGCATGTCCACGTGCATGTCCACGTGCATGTCCATGTGCATGTCCATGTGCATGCCCAGGTGATGCATGCAGGAGTTCTAGCATGTCATGGCCAACTCACCTGGTGGTGGATGCGAGGGGCATCGATGGCTTTAAAGGGTGAATAACCCTGGCAAAAGAAGTGCAGGATCACTTGCAGAACAGCCGAAATAATCACTGTTCCTCCGGCTCCACCAACCACAGCTTTCAGCTGCCCGTCCTGTAGCACAATAGCAGGAGCCATCGACGACAACGGTCTCTTTCCTGCCCGGATAAAATTAGCCGGGGCGGGCGGCGGCTCAAACGGCATCGGGATCCTGCCCGGCCGGCAGGGCAGCGAAAAATCCGCCATTTCATTGTTGAGAACTATCCCTGATTGGACTGCCATCCTGCCCGCTCCCCAGGGGCCGTTTACTGTAGATGTTATAGAGACTGCCATTCTATCCTGATCCACCACACATGTGTGTGACGTGCCGTGGTCGTCTAGCTGGGCGTATAGTTGGTGGCGGTGCGGGTGGCGTTTTTTGTCCTCTTCTGACTCGTCCTCGGGGTGGCCGTAGTGTTCGGGCGGGAAGGTGATGTTGTCGTGGATGGCGGATCGAAGCCGGGCGGCAAACTCATCCGAGAGCATGTCTGGACGCAGGGAATGGGACGAAAAGAAAGGAAAAGTGGAAATTAATCAAGCGGATACAGAATGAGAACGAGAACTGACTTGGTGAGACATCTCAATAGAAGCATGGGGAACCGTGAAACTAACAGATCCTAACAGTACCTCGGATGACATCAGTAACGTTGACGAAGGCGGGATCCCCCAGGTGCATGCGCAGCGCAAACACATGCTTTAAGCTCTCCACCACACCACCCGATGCAATACCAACACTCCGGCTGACGCCAGAGGCAGATCATACCCCTGGAGAGCGCACCTAGTGCTGGGGTACGAGCTTCCCTAGCGCCAAGGGAAGCTCGTACCCCAACACTCCTGCTGACGCCAGGGGCAGATCATACCCCTGGAGCATCTTCAACGCCTGCGGAATCACCGCTCCCCCTGACGATGACTTTTGAGTCCTCCGGGATTTTCTGATGACTCAACAGTCATCTTCAGCACCTGCAATATCACCTCTCCCCCAGCCTAGACAACAGCAATCATACCTTGAATAACGTCCGTCACGTTGACGAAGGCGGGATCCCCCAGGTGCATGCGCAGCGCAAACGCATGCTTCAAGCTCTCCACCACCCGATGCAATCCCAACACTCCCGCTGACGCCAGGGGCAGCTCATACCCCTGGAGAATCTTCAGCACCTGTAAAATCACCGCTCCCCCTGATGATGGTGGAGGGGCCATCAGAAAGTCCAGACCAAACGCCTTCCCCAGAAGCACCTCCCTCACTTGTGCCTGGAAACTTTCCAAGTCCTGTTCGGTCAGTATCCCTCCCATTGCCTGGATTTCCTTTGCTAGGGCTCTCGCACGCTCCCCTCGATGCAATGCATCTGGGCCCTTTTCTGCTATGGCTTTAAGAGTGGCTGCTAGGGCGGGGCGGTAGCAGGTGTCTCCTTTTCTCAGAAGCTTCCCTCCCGGGGCGAAAACAGCACTTAATCCAGGGTCTGAGAGGATGGTGGTGTTGCTGGCAGCGATGGAGTTTGCCAGGTAAGCTGCCACGTGGAAGCCATTCTCTGCCATGTCAGCGGCTGGCGTGACGAGGTCGCGCCACGTCAGCCTGCTGTGCCGCTGCCACGCCAGGTAAAGCCCTGCAATCTCCCCGGGTACTCCCACTGAAAGGCCCCCATTCCGAATGTCCTCCTCGTGCCCCTCAAACATGTCCTGGCGGGACGAATGAAGGGGAAGGAGCGAAGGTGGGGGGAGAAGAGGAGAGGAGGATGGCAATGGAGTGAGGACGAGAAGGTTGCATTTAAAAGTAGGCCTCCCTTTCTGATGTCCTCCTCGTGACCCTCAAACATGTCCTGGGTGAAGAAAATGGTGGAGGGAAGAAGGGGGGGGGAGGAGGGGGAGAACAGAAAGAGGGTTTTGAGGCGTCTCACAACTCCTGCTTGAAGGCCTCCCTTCCTGTCCGCCTCGTGACCCTCAAACATGTCCCTTTCTGATGTCCGCCTCATGACCCTCAAACATGTCCCTTTCTGATGTCCGCCTCGTGACCCTCAAACATGTCCCTTTCTGATGTCCGCCTCGTGACCCTCAAACATGTCCCTTTCTGATGTCCGCCTCGTGACCCTCAAACATGTCCCTTTCTGATGTCCTCCTCATGACCCTCAAACATGTCCCTTTCTGATGTCCGCCTCGTGACCCTCAAACATGTCCCTTTCTGATGTCCGCCTCGTGACCCTCAAACATGTCCCTTTCTGATGTCCGCCTCGTGACCCTCAAACATGTCCCTTTCTGATGTCCGCCTCGTGACCCTCAACCTCAAACACGTCCTGGGTGAAGAAAATGGTGGAGGGAAGAAGGGGGGGGAGGAGGGCGGCGAGGAGAGGGTGAACAGACGAGTGTCTTGACGCTTCTCAGAACTCCCACTGAAAGGCATCCCTTCCTGATGTTCCCCTCATGACCCTCTAACATGCCCTGGGGATGCAAGAGGGTGGAGAAGAGAAGGGTTGAGAGAAAAGGGGTGAGGGAGAATAGGGACCCTTCCGCACGTAACCTGCATATCCGGTCACCCCAATCATCCCCACTGCCTCAACCACCCCAATCATCCTAATCATCCCAATCAACCCAAGCACCCGAAGCATCCCAGAAAAGCCCTTGTACCTGGTGAGCAGCAGCAGGAGCAGTCTCCCGGCCGTCAATGAACCCCTCAGAGCCATTGAGAGAGCACATGAGAATGAACGCACCCCCACGCACCCCCAAGTACCCCTAAATATCCCCGATCACCCCAATCACCTGGTGAGCAGCAGCAGGAGCGGTCTCCTGGCCGTCAATGAACTCCGCAGAGCCATTGAAAGAGCACATGAGATGAGAATGAAAGCACCGCAAGCCACCCCAAGAACCCAAACGTACCCCAAAGCACCCCCAAGTACCCCTAACTCGAAGGTCACCCCCCAATCACCTGATGAGCAGCGGCAGGAGCAGAGCAGTCTCTCTGCTGTTAATGAACTCAGCAGACCCGTTGGGGGCGCAGATGAGAATGAACGCACCGCCACCAATGCCGCTCGCCATGGGATTCACCACGCCCATGCACAGCACTGTAGCGATGCTGGTCTCTCCAATCACCCGAATCGTCCCTACTGCCCCAACCACCCCAATCATCCCTATGAACCCAACCAGCCCAAGTACCCAGACCATCCTAAATACGAGGGAAAAAAAGCCCCTGTACCTGGTGAGCAGCAGCAGGAGCAGTCTCACGGCAGTCAATGAACTCAGCAGACCCGTTGGGGGCGCGGATGAGAATGAACGCACCGCCACCAATGCCGCTCGCCATGGGGTTCACCACGCCCATGCACAGCACTGTAGCGATGCCTGCATCCACCGCGTTCCCGCCGGATTTCAGAATCTTCTTTCCGATCTCGGAACATCTGGGGTCCTCTGAAGCTACTGCTGCGTGTTCTGCCTCCACCACTGCAGCTGCTGTTGCTGATTTTGCAGCTTCTGCTGCCGATGCTGCTTCTGCTGCTGATGCTGCTGCTGCCGGACCTTCCACCACTGAACCATTCGCCTGAGGCTGCCAGCTCGACAGTAGCCGAGCCTGCCAGAGAGGCTTGGATTCGGTCAGTATTTCGTCCACGAGGCGGAGCGAGCCAGGAGACCAACCGTTCTGGAGAGCAACGCCGGATAGGGTGCAGAGACCCAGAGCAAGCAGCGTCAAGAGCAGCCCTGAATGATATACCACGATTTGACAAGAGCAGGACGAAGAAAAAATTCCACTTTGGTGAGGTTGCTGAGCCCTGAAGATAAAAGAGGTTCAAGAACAAAAAACAAGCCGTTCAGAAGAGCCATCCGGCCAGGTTGCAGAGCCCTGAAGATGAAAGAGGTTCAAGAACAAAAAGCAATCTGTTCAGAAGAGCCATCCGGTCAGGTTGCAGAGCCCTGAAGATGAAAGAGGTTCAAGAACAAAAAGCAATCTGTTCAGAAGAGCCATCCGGCCAGGTTGCAGAGCCCTGAAGATGAAAGAGGTTCAAGAACAAAAAGCAATCTGTTCAGAAGAGCCATCCGGTCAGGTGCAAAAGGCTAGAGCGAGCAATGTCAGTGAAAGCCTGGAAAAACGAAGGTGAAGGAAAGAATAGCCAGCCTGAATGGGACGCTCTCAGTAACGTCAACAACAGCCCTTCAGTAAGATAACGATAAGAAATAAAACAGGGGAAACGAAGCTTAAGGATGAATGAATGTGATGACAAGAGATGGGAAATGGCGCGCGACAGACCACAGACGCTATGTCTGTTGCTCCCTGGCGACTTCTAAGTCGACTAAGAAACGGCATGATTCAGAAAATTCTACGCACGGACCATAAAAGCTGTGTCTGTAGCTCCGTCGATCCTGTTGCTCCTCTTCCTCTGGCAGCAGCTGGACACGTGGAAGATGCTCCGGATCCATCGGACGCAGCACGAACTAGCCCAGCGGCGGACGCAGGACGAGCACCTTGTTCGAACCTTGGCTTGAAGCCAAACAGCCAACTCCGTCGACCTCTTTGAGGATTCGCCGTTGAGCAGAGGTCGAGTTTCCGTGTAATGTTGACCTGTCAATTGAATGTCAGCTGAATCGTCAGCGACATCTGGCAATTTTGGCGAAACGGTGACCCAAAACCTGCACGAATAACCACGAGTGTCAAGCGACGACGAATATATGCATCAGGAGTCACGTGTAAGGATGGTACGGTTTGAATTTGACCGTAAATTACCGCGAGTTATTGCCAGACGTAACAACAAGAAAGAAAAAAACTTTCTAAACACGATCACTGAAAAGAATAATCCAAACACGATTACTGGTAAGCGAGGCCCTAGTCCGAATCCCTATCGAGCCGACCTTGTCAAGCTGGAGCTGCGATCGCAGGATTCAGCGTGAAATTATAGCCTGACCTGGCGCAGCTTCATGGATACAGCCAAAGCGATCACGAATGTAGAATAAAAAACTCGATCAGTACCGTCCCTGACGGTGCACTGAAGGAGCACCTGACGTTCACATAAGATTAAACTCCTCAATCTCGTTCAGAGGTAGCAGAGAGCAATCAGCAACTGCCGTTGGCGTCCAGAGTTTGACAAAGGTGGTGCAGAGCTCGGACTTCAAGATGGGTTACACACGGTTTTCTGCAATGCTGTGCGCTAAAGTGTGGTGCAGTGTGGTTTTCGTTGGACGATGAGTGGATCCATGTTTCTCTAGTCATGGACGGGAGGATGAAAGAGCTGTGGGGGGACGGAAAGGAGGTGCAACTTTGACCACGACGAAAGCAAAGTAGTTGTTACGTTGTTTTCGCGAACACCCTCAGTTCGTCGTGACAACAGCTTCAACCAATGGCCATTCGGTTGCTGCGCCGCTCCTAGCAGCAAGAGCTGACCTCGAAATTCACTCCTGGCGGCCAGAAGCGACAGGGACCTCATCAAAATCGGACGAATGGTCGACGCCACACAATGTGCGGCTCACATTCGTTTCGTAATCGTTTACGACAATGTGCGACAACTCCAACCTGCCCGTCTCCGTCAAGGAAAATTCACTAGTACAAAGTGAACAAGCAAGTGATGCGCGCCTAAATAATCTGAATCTCACCACAATATCATTCTATCTTCACCTTTGGAGTTTGACCAAAGAAGCTTCAAGCAGCTAACCGTAACCTATCTGTAGCAAATAAAAACTACGCTCATGCGAGCATAAGCAAGGCTAGGAAACCAGCAGCTCCACCGAAGATGGCAGCCAACAATGCGGATTGTCTTTGCGCAGGCTTCACAGGCAATGCTGGAATGTCCTCCGGCATCACGCACTCCTCGCCATTGAAAACAATTTTCTGCCAAGGCAAAATAACAAATACACATGAGATTTAGTCATAACCCAACTCCATCCCACCCTCTCCTCTCCCATCCTCATTAAAAGGGGTTATGAAATTCCAGTATGATGAAACATGCCACCAAACTCACCCTAGGGAAGACCCATCCGTCTTCCAACGTGAACTCTGACGTCTTGGCAAAGAGCATTTCCGACTGCACGTTGCCGCCCTTGCCAGCTGGCATGAGCACATCGTTGTACTGCTTCATGCCAAAGAAGATGGCCGTGTTGTTCACCCCATAGGGCAGAATGTTCTCCGCCTTCCAACTGAACACGTCCGTCAGATTGCCCATGTTCGGGTGCTGTTGGGGACAGACAGAGGGACACACAGATGGACAGAGGGAGAGGGACAGAGAGATGGCTGTGTTGTTGACACCATAGGGCAGGATGTTCTCCGCCTTCCAACTGAACACGTCCGTTAGATTGCCCATGTTTGGGTGCTGCGGGTGGTAGAGAGGGACAAGAGGGACAGACACGAGGGACAGACAGGGCAGGGAGGAGACAGGGGGTTACTTAGATTTCTTAATTCAGCTGAACACATCTGTCAGGTTGCCGATGCTCGGGTGCTGTAAAGGACAGCCAGGGGGATCAACAAAGGGAAACAGACAGAGACAGGTCAAAGGGGAGACAATCTATGTTCAGCACAGCAACATGGGCAACCACGACAGGCCAAAACCACCCCCCATTCCACCCATCTCCACTATCCACATACCTCCACAACGACATTCCAGTTGGTGTGGTTGTCCCACAGGCTCCTATTGATGATCGTTAACTTGGCCCTCCAAAGGATGCTACAGCAATACCCTCTCACATGCCCCACGCATACCTCAACAACAATGTTCCAGTTGGTGTGGTTGTCCCACAGGCTCCTATTGATGATCGTGATCTTGGACCTCCAGAAACCTTCGTAATTTTGCTGCATGCGACAAAAGAGAGTACAAGGGACAAGGCACGCAAGGGGACAGGCACAATCGAAGTTTAAATAGTCAATGCTGATGGGGCACCCGTCCGAACTCACTCACACTCACCCACATACCCTCCACTTGATAACTCTTTTCCCTCCATTTCTCCATCTCTCCCCCTTCCCGTCACCTTGAACCTACCCTCCACTTGCCCTTTCCTCTCCATCTCTCCTTCTCTTAGTCTCTACCTCTCTACCAGTCTCCCCCTTTCCTCTCTCGCCTCACCTTGAAGTGGTAGTGAATGCTGATGGGGCACCCGTCCGGGCTGCACTCAACGGCCGTCTGATCACTCTTCAGCTCCAGCCCACCCCCACTCTAAACCCTTTCTCTCCCTCTTCCCCTATCCCCCCCTTCGCCTCACCTTGAAGTGGTAGTGAATGCTGATGGGGCACCCGTCTGGGCTGCATTCCACGGCCGTTTTATCAGTCTTCAGCTCCAGCCCATCCCCACTCGGCGTCGACATCAAGTAAGGCACCTTGCCGCCCGTCGGCACACACACAATCGAGCTCGACGAGTAGTTCCCGCACGCGCACGCGCAGCTCGCGCACGGTATAATCGTGTCGTTGTAAAACGAGGATAACGACACGCAGCACTTCGGCGGGTCTCGCTTCTGAATCGAGCTGTACGTGCAGACTATGTGGAACGTCACTTGGGCCTGGGTCTCCCGGCGCGTGGTAGGGTCGGTGTAGATGGTGGAGTTGACTTGGAAGGGGTCCGTGCACTTGTATCCGTCCACGCCCAGGCTGAAATTGCCGGGAGGGACGAAGTTCCACACCGTGCTTGTGGCATTACCCACGTTGATCTAGGGAGAGAAGGGTAAGAAGGGGGGAGAGACGGAAAGGGGGGTTGGGGAGAGACTTGGAATGGGTCGGTGCACTTGTATCCGTCCACGCCCAGGCTGAAGTTGCCCGGAGGCACGAAGTTCCACACCGTGCTAGTGGCATTACCCACATTGATCTGGGAAAAAAGGGACAACAAGGGAGAGGGGGGGGAATAAGAAGTGGGGAAGGGGTAGGCAGGGAGGGGGGAAGGGGGACAGGGGAAAGGTAGTAAGGTAGGGTCGGTATAGATGGTGGCGTTGACTTGGAATGGGTCTGTGCACTTGTATCCGTCGACTCCCAGGCTGAAATTGCCGGGAGGGACGAAGTTCCACACAGTGTTCGTGGCATTGCCCACGTTGATCTGCGAAGTTGTGGTTGCGCAGGGAGGAAAGGGGAGGGGGCGGGAAGTGGAAGAGAGATATCAGGCTGAAGTTGCCGGGAGGGACGAAGTTCCACACAGTGTTCGTGGCATTGCCCACGTTGATCTGCGGGATGGGAGGGAAAGGGAAGGAGGGAAAGAGAAGTGCAAGGAAAGAAGGGAGGGGGGGAGAGGGGGGGGGGGAATCAGGAGGCTGAAATTGCTGGGAGGTACGAAGTTCCACAAAGTGTTCGTGGCATTGCCCACATTGATATAGAAAATGAGGGGTAAGATGGGGGGAGAGAAGGAATGGGGGAGAGGGCGGGGGGGGGGGGGGGGGGAGAGGAGGAAGGGGAGGGGGCGGGGGAGAAGTTAGGTAAAGCCAGTACAGATGGTGGCGTTGAACTGGAAGGGGTCTGACCACACGCAGGCTGAGATTGCTCAGAGGGACGAAGTTAAACACAGTGCTCGTAGCTAAAGTGCTGAGCAGACACTGCCGCACATAACCAGACACTGCCGCACATAACCAGACACTGCCGCACATAACCAGACACTGCCACACATAACCAGACACTGCCACACATAACCAGACACCGTTGGGTGAAGCGCCGCTCACCATGAATGCGGCGAGCGAGTGTCCCGGGTCGGTCTTGTTGGCTCCCAGGTAGCCTGCCTTGCAGCAGTTCTTCAACACGCCCGGCGCTTCGGGCTTTAAGGGGTCCGCGGGCATTAAATCCATCACCACCGGATACTGCATGCAACTGCGCGGAGGGGCGGGGGTGGGGGTGGGGAGCGGGTGTGGGAGCAGGTGTGGGAGGTGGAGTTAAGCGGGGAGGGGAAAGGGTTAAGGGCGTCAGCGCGAGATCCATCACCGCTTCTGAGCTCGCATAAGGTCCACCAGCAACGAGGCTACTAGAAAACAGAAATTACTACTGTAATTGCAAACCATAAATCGGCGACGCACCTGTGCGGGATCTTGCCGCCGGGGAACTGCAGCTTAGAACAATCGCCTTGCTTCGTCGCAACCGCTCCCTGCAGCGCACGCACGGGGAAGGTGAAAGGAAGGAGTGAGTTGCTAGGAAGTAGAGGAAAAGCCAAGGGAAAGGAGGAATAAGCCAATGGAGATAAAGGAGGAGAGAGAGCCGGGAGAGACGGGAAAGCAGGGTTAGGAGAGGGCAAGACAGCGCGAAAAAAAAATATAACGCGCGCCAGGTACGCCTACAACCATCTGACCGTCCACACTTATCGGACTATCACTCCCAGCACATTGGTAACAGACAAGGCGAGCCGAAACCACTCGAACCACGTTAATATCGACCGCGAGCCGTTGCTGCTGCTCGTCGTCGAACCCATTACACAATTGAGTCATAAAAGGCTTCGCAAAGATCGCCTCAAACGAACGGGTCGCTGCTGCTGCTGCTGCTGCTGCTGAGCGCGTCGCTGCTGCTGCTGCTGCTCAAATATTGACCCACGCGATGTAATCTGAATTCTCTCGGCACTACTTACCGTCAAATCCCAGATGTATTCGCCGTGCGTCCAATTCCACGTCAGCGCCCAGCCAGGTGGATCAATCTTGCGGTAGTGCTGGTAGTTGTACATTTTCACCCACGCGATGTAACCGTCGCCTGCCCAGCTCGTTACATCCCACACGATCGTGATGTTGCCCGTTGGATCTAGTGGATCGTACGCTTCAGCTGACGGCACGCCGGTGGCGAATAGGCATGCGGCTATCGCGAGAGCTGCGAAGAGCATGCAGCTACCGCGATACGCGGAGAACCTCATCTTCGACCAGTGATTCCTCGCTGTCTGCTTTTTATTCTGATCTTAGTGAGCTATTTCTTGTCAAGACTAATTAAGTTAATCGCGAAAGCAAGATGTATCCAGCGTTGAGCTGACACAGGAAGTCTGACGTGAACGCTGAAATAATAGATACTTATGGATGGCACCGTAAGGGATTAGCTCCCGATCAATAACGCCTAGGAAAAGACGTCAACTACAGGAAACGATGACAGGAAGCCCTTACAATCCACGAAAGCAGTCGAGTTTACAGAAACAGCGGGTTGTTTATCAGCTCCCAGAAGACCAGTTTTCCTCCTACAGTATTACAGTCAGTCCCTCCCTAGATGCTTTTGGATCTCCACGGTTCGATCTGTATGTGGAGTTTTCTAGGATGGGCGGGCATTCCCCCTCCTTGTGAAAGGCAAGTTCAAGAGAATCCATTCCCCAGGGCTGTTCTGGCGGGGCGTGTGGATTGGGCACGCGCGGGGGCTGGCGGAGGTCTCATACAGAACGGAATCAGAGCGGGGAATGAGTGACTTGCGGACGGGTGACGCTGACACCAGTCAGCGGAGAGAAGCTGGCGGAAGATGGAGGCGAACATCGCGAGGAATGCGGAAGGAGCACGGAGATGCTGAGCGCGGGGCCGCAAATCAAGGGGTTCGCGGCTGCGTAACGGGGCCAGAGTGAGGCGAGGGGCTTCAGACCAGTGTGCTTCAAGCGATGGTGCCAGTGACAGAAGCGAGATGCGAGCTCCATCCTTGCGGCTCGTATGGTTCGTTTAGGCCGTTCTGATTGGCTTGGACGAGTTGTACTGTCCCGTATTTGATCGTTTGACGAAGTCCGGAAAATCGAAATGGTTTCATGAGCCAAATGAAAGCCTAAAGGTGCTAAAAACGAGGGTAAAAGTCATCCCATGGCTACCGTCAAACCAGACCAACAAAGTCGAACCTGTTGGCTGAACCAAACAAGAAGCTTGACCAATGCCTCGTCGCAGCGCGGCCGATTCCGTGTCAGTACGGGGAGAGCAGGCCGCCAATCGGCGGAAGTGCATGGGATGGACAGGACGTGACTGCCCTAGCCGCTAAACACGGTGTCAGAGCCCAGCGATTCCCAACGACGACTACACTTCTATCGTACGTAATAAACTTGAATTGACTTGTGCTAGCATATCAATTTCATGTGTGAGCAATACCATCTCGAGATGCTAGCAAGACGGGTTAAAATTTAACAGCAACCTACAGCATAAATACCGTATCACACACATTTTATTTCTTTCCAAACCCAAAGAAACCTCCAATCTGCACACAAGTAGCAGCCAAAGAAGGTATGTCAGCATGAATCCTCTCCAAAAAAACAACTCGAGGTCAGCGCGCAGGAACAAAACCCAACAACACACAAGTTACCATCGCAACCCACCTTTTGTCGCATTCCAACTCTGCCATGTTCTGCCCCATGAGCATCAGCTGCATGAGTGCCGTGCTGAGGGCCATTCATTCCCAACACAGTGTGGGGCTGCGGAATGTACATGCCCGGATTCGCAGAATAATTCACAAGTGGCCCCCCTTGCCCTCCTGCAGCAGGGGCAGCAAAAGGATGGGCAAGATACGGTGGAGGAGGAAGAGCACCACCAGCACCCGCACCAGTACCAACACCAGCACCAGTGCCAGCATAATCACCAGGAGGAGGAGGAGGCGGAGGATGGGGACCCATTCCAACCCCAGCCAGAGCAGCAGCAACTCCCGCATTCCACTCGCTCGGCTGGGCAGCACCCCGCCGATCGCCTCCCATATCCATTCCAAAGTCCCCAACCCCTGCCCCTCCCTGCATCTTCTTTCTCGCCTGTCTGTCCTGGAACATTTTAGTGTATCCTGCACCTTCAGCCGCGTGCTCAATTCCCCCTTGGAATCGCACCTTGGAGTGCTGCTGCGCGTCTTGCTCCCAGTCGCTGTAAGGTAGTTGGTAAGGGATTCTAGGCGCTGATCTGATAGCGGGTGAGCCTGTACTGGGTACAGCAGCAACAGGAGCCGAACCAGCAGCAGCAGTAGTGGCACCACCAGCACCAGCAGGAGCAGCAGCAGAAGCAGCTGCAGCCACGCCAGAGGTATCATTACCAGATACAGCAAAGGTAGCTTCAGGAGGGGCAGCAGCGGAAGGGACACTGCTGATGGCAGTGCAAGCAGTGTTGCCTGTGTCGTGAAGGCCAAAGGTAACATCGAGTGCACGCCCCGGATCGCCATAACCCCAGTCAGCAGCACTCACATCCCCAGCAGCACCAGCACCACTGGCAACACCAGCGGCACCAGCACCACTGGCAGCACTGGCAACACCAGCCACACCAGCAGCAGTGCACGCTGAGCCATTCTGCTCCCTGATTGGCCCGCCAGTAACCGACCAACCCTCCCAGGTGAACCCCCCATCATCCTCTTCGGGTTCTAATGGCAGCAGAGCCATGGGTGAAGGGCCGTGGTTGGAATGACCATGGGAGGGATGATTATAGGAGGACGGAGGGAGGGAGTACGGCGGAGGAGGCAGAGGGAGGGCAGGGGAGGAGAAGGAAGGGGAGGAGGTGGAAGAAGAGATTTGGGTCGCCATGTGTTTGTCAATGGGGCTGCCGACTGGAGTGTGCTTATCTTGGAGGTTCGGAATGGGACGATGCGGAATGGGGCTTGCCGAGGCTGCTTGGTACGGCCGAGCAGTGCGAGGCTGGAGACCAGGTTCGGGACCCGATGCTGAAGCATCGGTTTGTGCTGCTGCAGTGTTCTGAGGTGTAGCTACAGCGCCCCCAAGGCCATCCGAACCTTCACCGGACCTGACCGCAGCTTCGGATGATGGGGCGTCGCGAGCCCAAACTGGAGCCTCGAAAAGCAAGGACGGGTTAGCAGCAGAGTCATGGCGGTGTGGGGAATGGTGAACTGGGGAGTAGTAGCGAATGGGCCGACGGGGAGGGGAAGACTCTGGGGAAGAATCAGATGAGCCACACGAGCCTGGGTGATAGGCTGGGGGACTGGCTTGGGCATAGCCCGCAGGCTCGTTCGCCGAAGCTGGTTTTTGCTCGAGAACGGCAGGAACAGCAGCAGCAGGAGCGGCGGACATGAGTGCAATTATACCGTCAGTGAGTCGCTGCATTTCCAGCGGGGAAAGATTCTCCCCTGCAGCCAGCCTCAGCTTGAGCGCCTGCAGTTCAGCGAGGGAAGGTGGGGAACTTGACGGCTGTTGAGGCGCCTCAGATGTTGCTGCCCACAGGGGATTTACCGAAGGCGCTGCTGCTGCTGCTGATTCTGCTGCTGATGGTGGTGCTGCTGCCTGTGCTGCTGCTGCTGTTGCTGCTGTTGCTGCCTGTGCTGCTGCTGCTGTTGCTGCTGTTGCTGCTGTTGCTGCTGCTGCTGTTGCCTCCCATGAAACGTCTTCAGCACTCGGGGCAAACGCGGAGGAAGAGGAGGAGCTGATAGACTGCACAGGGGAGTCGGACGCGATTGGCTCAAGCGCCAGACCTGGCAGGTACGACTGCCGAGGCTGGGAGTTAGGCTCGCGAGGGCGGTCCGGGGAGCCGGAGAGCGGGGAGTTGTAGAGGTGGTAGAGAGGATGATCGGGTGGTATGTGAGGGATGCGGTTGGGTGATCGAGACTCAGAGGATCCGGAGGAGGAGATGGTGACGCTTGCCTGTAGTGCAGGTGGGTGGGCAGAGGGGTGCGCAAAAGGGAGGAACAGGAACGCACATGCATGGATTAGACGCTGCTGGGTGATCGAGACTCAGAGGATCCGGAGGAGGAGATGGTGACGCTTGCCTGTAGTGCAGGTCGGGAGAGAGGAGAAACAGGAACAGCGCATCAAAAGATTAGAGGAGTTTAGAGCTGATAAGAGCAGAGGGGAGGAGCAGGCAAAACACGTGGAAGAAAAATCGGGAGGCGAGAATGGAAAGAGAGCATGGGGGAGCGGAGGGTGTAGGGGGGGCGAGAAAGGGGTGCCCGGGTAGGTGTGAGGGACAGAGGAGGGAGTGGGGATCAGGTGGAATATAGATGCCTCATGGATTGTGGTGGTTAGGCTCAGCTGCTCAGGTGCCTCATTGATGACCCCTCCCGCCTTCCCCCCCCCCCCACCTCCCCTCCCCCCACCCCCCCCACTCCCCCCACCTCCCCCCCCACCCCATACCGTGTTTGCGATCTTTCTCTGGCCGCTCTCCCTAGGATCCGCCGCATCCCCCAGTACCTCCTACCCATCCTGGTCCATTTTTCAACTCCATACCTGCTGGCACCCACTTGGGACCTCCATGATCCTCCCATCCACAATCCGCATTGCTCGCCTCTCCCTCCCCTTAATCGCAAACATCGCGGTGAATGCATGCCAAAGTGCTAATCAACTGGGAACCTCCATAATTCTCCCCGTACCTGCTGACCACAACTGGGAACCTCCATAATTCTCCCGTCCACAATCCGCATGGCTCGCCTCTCCTTCCCCTTATTCGCAAACATCGCGGTAAATCCCGCGCCGCCGCTTCCCACGCCCCCGTCGCTCTCGGGATCGTATGTCTGCACGCTCGGCGCGCGCAAACGCGCGGCTGCGGACGCCGCCGCCGCGGCTGCCGCCGCCTCTTCCGGGTTCTTTGGAGCTTGAAAGTTCCATGCTCCAAAGATGGGAAGCGCCGGCGAGGGCACAGGGCCCTGAAAATAGTGTAAGTCAATTAGATAACAAAAAGGAATTGGGACACTGAATGGGAAACGACAAAACAATAAGTGGTTCGTTGGCAAGGCATATAATGACTTCGAGAGCCTCACACAGCGTAAGATGAGGGTAGGGAGGAGTTTTAATTTACAAAACAAAAAACAAAAAAGGCGGTGGGAGAAAGGAATGGAAAAAAAACTACAACAGAAGGAGGGAAGGAAGGAAGGAAGGAAGGAAGGAAAGGGAATGAGTGGGACTGACCTTTCCCGACCGCATCTTAGGCACCCTCACGGAGCTGCGGCTGGAGGAGGTCGCATAGCTCGCTTCAGACGTGAGATCTTCGGACGAGGTGCTTGAGGGTGAGCGGTGGAAGGAATCTGAGTACATTCTAGCAGGCTGTCGCAGAAGTTTATTGAAATAAACGGTGAATAAACAAACGGTAATAAATAGAGGCTATTAAGTCAACGGTTTGTTCAGTCCCTTTGCCTATCCAAATGATCACTCGCGGACGATTACTGGAAGAATGCCTTACTAAATTTGCAGAACGGCCTGCTTCGAATCTAGCGGCTTGTCTCTTGCAGTATACCTAGACTTATTCTGACCACGGACGGAATCAACCTCGTGGTAATCGGTTTTCGGTATTTGTATGATTATCTGGAGGAATGATAGTGGGGGGAGTTTCCGAGGCTGTGTGAAGTTCCGAGAAGAAAGTTGGCATGGGATGGGATTGCATGGAGAAGGGAGGAGAAACCTTGGTCCGACTAGGCCAGCGAGCCTGGAGTACAGCTCTTTACCGTTGTGAGGGCCTTTTAGAACGTAGTCTACCGTATATTTCTGGTATGCACAGAGGAGAAGTCCGTTGGGTATGACGACCCAACAAACCAGAAACGCTTCCCAACCGTCGATTTCGATTGCTGGTTTTTCATCAGCCCATCTTGCGTAACCAGTTTGTTCATCGGGCAGGGTGTAGCCGATTGTAGCAGTCCTTTGAACAAAAATTCCTGGTCCGAGTGGTTCGGCCACGTCTCCACTTTCCTCCAAACCCGCACCGCCAGCTCGTTGACCGTCAGATATGTTCGACTTGACAGCTAGGTTCATTCGCATCAACCGTCAAAATTAGGTGAGAAATTGTGGGCTAGGAGGAAAACTCGACGGCCAACGTCCGTGGCTCCCAGAGTCATCTGAAATCCACGTTTCCACTGATTCACTTGACGGCGTTGAATGTGGAAGTGACTGGGCAAGGGTACAGTACCAAGATGTACAACACCATGTAACTGCATCATCAAAATTCCTACATCACCTATGTAGGGATACCATAAATCCATCACACTTTTCCTTGCTATAAAAGAAGCAGAAGCAAAATCCTGGACAAATTCAATGGCTCTTAGACCGGTATATTCGAATTACAAACTCATAATTTTAACAGACCTACCTAATTGGCTACTTCTTACTATATTGCAGCTCCATAATGCTACTGGATTTCAACGTGAAATGTCGATTTAGCGCAAGATTGTGAAAACAAACTCTTCTGCAGTGCTCCGTATATGTGAATGCAGCTGAGCGCCAAGATAGACAGCACTTCACAGGCCCATTACTTTAACCAGGGGCCGTTCTTTGGTGTAACTAGCGTGCTTCCTCGTCCAAAGTGGCGACATATGGTGGCTCTTCATCTTCCAAGAAGTGACCTCGGTGGGCATTGCTGTAGAACCCACCATTTCCTGCAAAAGGGGTGGAGATGTTGTGACATCAGTTTAACGTGTTACACTACAGCTCAAGGAAGGCAACAGGGGCGAATAGGAAACACGGGACAGGCAATGTGAGCGCCCTCCGTTGGGAAACGTTACAGGGAGATGATGCGCACCATTGTTATCATCCTCCAGTGGTAGGTGCGGTTGGAAGAAGATGAGAAGAATAGCAACCATGACAGCAACAATGCCAACTTAAAGCCCGAGAGCTTTGGTGATAGTGCCAGGGCAGTTTGGGTTGGGTTGAGGGGAGGGGTGCTCACCAGTGTCGTCATCTTCCAGTGGTAGGTGTGGTTGGAAGAAGATGAGACGAATGGCAACTACAACAGCAATGATCAGCAGCACGCCGAGAATGCATGCGGTGATGATCCACACGATCTGGGTGGACGAGACCGAGGAGGACGTCGGCTGCACTATCGTGATGTCGCTCACTCCTGGCCCGCCCAGTGCCTCACACGCTGGCCGCGTCGTCGTGCCGCACACATCCGGGTTGTTGGAGAAACTGGGGACGGGAAAGTTGGAATGTGATGGAATGTGATTGTGGGAAGTTAGGGTTTGTCGTGGCTGTGGCCAGCGATTCGGGTGAAATGGATAGCATTGATGCAGCCAATGCTTATACCAAATGAACAACAGAAAGGAAGGAGAGAGGCGGCAGATAAGGAGAGGAGGGGTAAGGCGAAAGGGGGCTCACTCAATCATAACGCCAGGGGGAGGTGGAAAGAGATCGGCAGGCACACCTCCTGTCAGCTCATTGTCATGCAGGTCACTGGGAGGTGAGGGATGACAGGGTATTGGGAAGAAAGAGTACTCGTTGAGTGCAAGGTAAAATCCTGACAACCCGGTATGTGTAGCAAAAATTGTGACCCAGAATGACGCACATGGATCCCCAGCAACCGGCATGTTGCACCAACAAATGCATCCCCAACGAGGCAAAGACGAACGCAGGAGCCGTGCTGCAGGCACTCACAGAATCTTCAGAGCAGGCATGCTGCTGAAGCCCCGAGGGATGGAGCCCTTGAGGTCGTTGGCTGACAGATCCCTGGGGTAAGACAGGGTGTGCAGAGAGCAGAGCGGCAAAAAGCGGGGGTAAGGTGAACTTGAGAGCAGGCATGCTGAGCCATTGAGGTCGTTGGCTGACAGGAGGGAGGCGCCTGAGGTCCCTTGAGGTCCCTGGGTAAGAGAGGCGCGTGCAGAGATCAGGGCGGGGAGAAGAGTAGCAGTGAGACAGGCAGAAGGAAGGGGGGGAAGGGTGGTAAGGTAATTTTGGGGGCAGGAATGCTGCTGAACCCTCGAGGGATGGAGCCCTTGAGGTCGTTGGCTGACAGGTCCCTGGGGTACGGTGGGCATGTGGAGAATATACAGAGAATTGGGCCACGAGAAGAAAACGAGAACAGCGTCAGCATCAGCTGCCAGCGCACTCACATCACAGCATGGTGAGCTGCTCCAGGTTGATGAGTGTCTGCAGCATAAAAAATTATTGATCGTCTGTGTGGTTATCCAAGGATCAGCATCAGCTCCCAACTTACAGCACGGTGAGCTGCTCTAGGTTGATGAGTGTCTGCAGCACCAATGTGCTAAATACTAAGTATGAGCATCAGATGCAAATCTAAAGCACCAGCTGGAGATGTACAAAACTTGTCTCAGCTTACAGCATGGTGAGCTGCTCCAGGTCGACGAGTGCCTGCTGCATTGACACTGCTTGCTACTGGTGTAAGCAAACCTAGTTAAGCATCAGCACACTTATTAACGCACTCACAGCATGGTGAGCTGCTCCAGGTCGATGAGTGCCTGCGGAATCTCTCCTGAAAGGTGATTGTTGCTCAGGTTCCTGCACACATGCGCATAAACACAGCACGCCCAACACGACAACGCATGACACGCATGACACGCAATAAGCCAGTAAGAAGCAACATGGTCAAGTTCAATACATAGTCATGAAGTCGTGTTTTGAGTCGACTCAAAGCGCAACAAGGTCTAGTTCAATACATAGCCACGAAGTACCCCAGACCAGGCACTCGAGCAATATTGAGAGCAAACAGCAAAAGTGGATGCTAAAAGGCAGCAGCATTGTGAGTGCAAAGGGGCAGCACAAACCGACCACTCTATTCAAAGCCTCCACAGCAGCCTAAGTCATTATTAGCAGACGCTGCAGGTTCTTGTGCAGGTGAATTTTTGAGCCTCCAAAGCCTTCACAGCGGGTCGTTACTCACAGGTACTGCAGGTTCTTGAACAGGTGAATTTCCAGGATGAGTGAACCACAAACTTGACTGTAAAGGCAGCAGCGTGGCAAGCGTCCCTACCAGCAATTTAAAATATATACTCACAGGTACTGCAGGTTTTTGAGCTGGTGGATGTCAGGAATAAGCGAACCATCGAGTTCTGCTGCTGACAGCGATCTGAAGAGGGTGGGCGGAGGTAAGGGTGGGAGAAACGGTGGCAGGAAGGGTGTGAGGATGAATAAGAGGAAGGGTGGGAGGATGAATAAGAGGAAGGGTAGGAGGAACAATAAGAACAATAAGAGGTTGGGTGGGAGGAAGGGTGGGAGGAAAGGTGGGAGGAAGAATAAGATGAAGGGTGGGAGGAAAAACAAGAGGAAGCGTGGAAGGCAGGCAATGGGCGCACATGAACCCATGATTCCACCCACGCCCACGCTCACACCCACACCCACACCCACACCCACACCCACACCCACACCCACACTCACACCCCCTACAAGCTTTGAGGCGCCTCAACACTCACATGCCCGTGATGCTGAAGTCGTTCTTCTCTGTCAGCCGGCACCCCACGCCCGGCCACGCAATGGGCGCACAAGGGTCGCCCTGCCAGTTGCTCATCTCCGGGACCACCAGGGCGTCGCGGATCTTCCTCATCAGCTTGACTGTTTGATGGGGTTGGAAGCAGGGAGGGAGAGAGTAGGGGATGGGGAAAGCAGCAGCAAGCAATGGGTGGGAGTGGGGGAGGGCAGCAGCAGGCAATGGGCGCACAGGGGTCGCCCTGCCAGTTGCTCATCTCCGGCACCACCAGCGCATCGCGGATCTTCCTCATCAGCTTGACTGGGGTTTGGTAGGGGGTGGAAACGAGTGTCAGGGGGTTGGCAGAGGTGCGAGTGGGTTGAAATGGGTGAGGAGTGGGGGAGGACAGCAGCAGGCAATGGCGGGGATGTGCGGGAGGGGAGCAGCAAACGTGGTGCTTGAGCCGCAAACTCTAAACAGCTCACACTCCCACTCCTTCGAGGAGGCCTGGTGCTTGAACTCACACTCTCAACTTCTTCAACTCACACTCTCAACTTCTACAACTCACACTCTCAACTTCTACAACTCACACTCGCCAGCGTTGGTGCGAGGGCCTCTAGAAACCAGCCGGAACACCTCCAGCCCCGCGACAGTGGGGCCCTTGGATGCGCCCTCAGCGCCCGCCAGCGCAATCTCCACCGTCGATTCGTCCGGCCCCAGCTGCCAATCAACGGTCTTGAAAAGCGCCACCTTGGAAGCCTTGCCCCACTTGATCAAATCAACGTTATCACCGCCTGGTGTGGGCTTCCCGTTGACAAAGATAGAGAACACACGTGCACCGGCAGCAGTGACGACTGGAGGGAGGGGGTAGGCGGGGAAGAGCAGGGAGGGAGAGAGGAGGGAAAGAAAC